AATTAGCTGTGTGTTTCAGCCACTTCCTGTAGCGCGACCCTCAAATGGGCTCCCTCCGCAATCTGGCCTATCGACTTACAGGGCGCCAGAGCTTTTTCTTTGAAGGCCGTTTCGGCTTCAGAGGCAAAAGAACTCTCTGATCTGACGGCGAAAGGAAAGGGCCCCTGCAGTGTGCCTTTACAGACTGATAAAAACTTAGAAAAACAACATTTGGGTAACAGACACACTCACGGGGAGGGAAAAAAAAATTAAGAATAATTTGGTTGTGAAAACAAGAGGCGGTACGGAACAATGACAATCTGGCTCCTTTGGTAATTTCCTGTCGGCGTTCATTCGTGTGATGTGGTCGTGACTGTTCTGCCGGGATCAATCAAACCTGCGAGCAGATGGCATCGCACTCCTCCGGCGGACTGGGGATTGTCTGTGTTTTTTCAGGGATGGTAATTGGCCCGCTATGTTACGGACCGGAGCATGCTAACAGCCACTGCTATCACCGCTGTGCTGCAGCGACAGCACCCATCGGCTCATAAAGCGGTACCTGTGCTCCACTTCGAATCGACACAAACTTGTGTTAAATGTTGCTGTAATTAATAAGGCATGATGACACTGAGGAAAAAACACATTTCAGGAGCGCATCCAAGCTTAGAAATGCAACTTTCATTTATCTCCCAAGTGACAACTGCAGCATCTCCATAGGCCTGCTGGTACAAAATGTGGCTGCTGTACTACAGGCCTCCACAAAACCCAGAAGAGCCAAACATGTTGGATCTCTGCGCTTTATTTGCTAACAGGGTTTGCATTTAGGTGAAGAAAGCTTATGTGGATAAATAGAACCGTGTGGGGGAGAGACTCGGAAAGCTGTATAAAAGAGAAACAGAGTAATTGCATGTGTACTGTATGAGTCGTGTGTGTGTGTGTGTGTGTGTGGCTGAGACGGCGGGCACTTCAAAGCTTTGATGTTGGAGCTCCTAAATGAGGGCCACCAGAGGTCCAGACTAATGGGACATCATGGGGAGATTAGAGGCCAAGTGTAGCAGGCTGACAACACAGCATTATGTATGTGTATGTGACAGAGGAGGGGAGCAAGAACATGAGTTTGTGTGTGTTAGAGTCCCTGTGTGTATTCCTTTTTTTTTTTGCAATTAAAAGTGAAAGTTTGGCTCCAAGTCTCAGATGGAGTTTGCGGGTAATTGGACAGGATGTATCGAGCTGCAAGTATCGCAGGAATTTACTACAAAGAATTCTTGGTCATAGCTTTCCTCAATATGGTATAAATCCTTTATTAAATAATCATAACAATAATTATAATAACAATCATAAAAAGAGCATTTCTGTACAAAGACCCCTTTAAAACAACAACAACAGCAGTTCTAGCAGTGCGAAAGGGGAAGGGGGGGAGGGATCCTGTCCTCTTATGTGGGTTTGGTCCTCCCAGGCAAAAGGGGGCGCTGTGACTGTCACTGTCAGTGTCTAATTACTGTATCTGATACCGGCTCCAAAGGCAAGCTGGATCCCCGAGGCTCCAAAGGCACTTTGAAGAGAGTCAGTGGGGTCCAGAGATGTGGGCCTCAGAGGAGAGAGACAGCAGGTGGATGGGATGAAATGGCGGATCCATGGCGCTTTATGGACTTTATGGTCACAAATCTGTGTCTCAGTAGAAGCCGTTGTTCCCTTAAGTTTTTTTTCAAAGATCTGAGTGCCGTTCAGTGTCCAAAGTTTCTCAGAGAGAGAAGATGTGTTCTCATGTTCTGTATATACATTTGTATATACAAGTGAAGTGTGTGGATGTCCATGTGCACGGGAGGGAACTCTGAGACCTTTCCTTTTACTCTCTCCTTCTCATGGCTTATGAGTCCATTCAGAGCATGCAAGACAAGACCCTTTCGGACTGGTTCAAAAAAAAAAGAAAAAGAAAAAAAAGAAGCTTGCCTTGCTGTGCGAGAGCCGACGTTTGAAATCAACGCAAAAAAATAAAAAATAAACCACAAAATAGGCCACAATGAGCCAGGAGGTTGAGGTGGGGGTGGTGCGATGTGTGTGTTGCAGGGGAGACGGGGAGAAAAGAGGTGTAGGTCCTTTAAATCATGGCTTTTGAGGTCCACATGTAAAAGAGAGAGATAGAGCGAGCGAGATAGATGCTCTCCTCCTCTCTTTGTCTTGGTGTCGCCTCAACGTTCCTTTTTCAACATTTCCATAAACAGTTTTGCTTTTAAGGCTTGTTGTGTGTCCGGGCACACGGTCAGTCGATTGCGAAGAGCCGTTTCTGGTTGTTTTTGATCCCATTTGTGTGTTGGTTGTTTTTTTTTTTTGTACTTGTGTAAGCACAGAGAGAATGTGGCCCCTGTGAGAGAGAGGCAGGGGACTGTAGTGCTCCGTCAGTCAAAGTCTCTCTCATTCTCTCTTTGTTTCTCTTTCTACAGTGGTTCAGTCTCTGCCCTTACCAGCAATCCATAGGTTGCACCGACCAAAAGCTCCTTGACCTTTTACCATTAACCACAATGTAAACATGACCTTCTCTTTGACAGGAACCAGTAACAACAGTCTCCGACAACTAAATCTAACAATGACGCCTCTCTGTCATTAAAAGAACGTGTTAAAATGCCCCCCTCCCCACCTCTACACACACATATATACTTTCTTTGCCTCTTTTTTTTCCAACTTATCAGCCATCACCGACTGGCAATAGGCCAGAACGAAAACATTAAACAGAAAGGGAGTGATTGAGCAGAACTCGAGGGACGTCGGTGACTAAAAATACCACAGACTGTCAGGAACTAAGAGGATAACTGAGGCTGATAGGTAGCAGAGTCTACGACGGAACAAAGGAGCCAACGGGCTACACAAAGGAGCTAAGTTCTAGGCCACTGTGTTCACATGTGATCAAAAAAGACGCTTTCTAAGTACGTTCCTAACCTACCACCTTTCCAACACAATGTGTCTGGCTCTCTGTTTGTGTAGTTTACAGTATCCAGTTTCAAAACTAGACCTCTTACAAATCTATGATGCATTTATAAACACTTCTCTTTTGGTGGACCAAGAATCTGTAGTTGATATGTGTAGATATTTACTTTTTGAGGCCTAACATCCCCGAACTGGAGCAGTCCATCTCGGTAGTCTTTCACTCACTGGTTCTTTCACCTCAAAAGCTACCAATACTGGACTGTGCCACATTTTCCGAAGAGGAAACAAGTTCTCGTTCGAGCTTAAATGTGGCTTTTCTCATTGTCCATGTGTCCTCAGATCTGCACCATCGAGGAAGTAAACTGACACTAAAGTGAACTGGAGGAAATGAAGAAAATATCGAGAGGGTTTTCACAAAATGCCTGTATGTCTCCCTCCCTCATGCCTCGGTGCAGCAGCGCTGTTGGTTGAGTTTAACTTTGTGCTTGAGACCGTCGTACAGTTCGAAGTTGTAGTTCTCCAGGGTGGTGGAGGAGCGTGATGACAGGCCGCTGTAGGAGCAGGTGCAGTACAGGAGGAGGCCGGCACAGACCGCCCCGAGCAGGACGCCCAGGGAGCTCATGACGATGATTGTGACCAGGATGGGGTCCAGTGTGTACAGCCAGGAGTTGTCCTTCTCGGAGACACGCGTCACTGGAGGCTCGGATGATGGCGACGGTGTGTTCCAATCAGGGAACTGCAAACCTGTGACAAGAGGGAGGAGGGAGTGGAAAAAAAAGATGAGAAAAGTTAGTTTGATGGCAGACAAGTCGTGACTGGATAGAAGTGTTGTCGTGCTCAGGGTTGACCCTTTATGGTTCGACCTATTGCAAGATTTATGTACATTGCAAGCAACTCTAGACAAAACAGCGTCCTCGAGAGACCTGGAGCCTATTCTGCATTCCATAAGTTGACCTGTTCAGGCTGAAACTTTATACTTTAGGATTCCTCAAGTCCCTATTTCTGAAACAAGGATCAGGTGAACCTAGAAACATGCAAGCATTCTGCTTCTTTAAAAACTAATAAACATGTCAGCAATTTATCACAAGCAGATGAATAATATATAAACAAACGATAACGTAAGAGCTTACAATTGATTTTACTCAGACTTAAAGGGGACTCTGGATTTTATTTTAAGACCACTCAAGCCCACAGTTGCTGTGATTTTACTAAGCTGCCTTTGCACTGTTGGTTTTATTACTGTGACTGGATGTAAAACTTTTTTCTTTAATTGCAACATTTTTGTTACTATTGATAGTTGTCACCCCTATCTGCCCCACTTCACTTGCAGGAACTGAGGCTGTCTCGGAAGAAATGTCCACTAAATCGTCCGTATGAGATTTTGCTTGGTAAACCACAAGCAAATATTAACCAAAAGCTACCTATATACAGTAAATAATGTTGTTTTCCAGCTCCAGTTTCAGCAGTGCAATGCAATGGTTTGCATGTTTCTACATTTTATCCTAAATGTGGGTTAGGTGGTCTTAAATACAACTGAATTTAGGAAAGAAAAGACTTAAGCATAGCATCAAACATCAGGACTTCTTCCAAAATTGTGTTTCAAGAATTGTTATAAGTGGCTTACAAAAAACTAAATAATGAAGAAATATACAATTTAAACAACAAAAACTAAAGAAAATTATTCTGCCTCTACTGATCGTAGTGAGTGTCTCGTATCTTACCTCCACCTAGTGGGTCTCTGCCACTGAAAAGTCGTCCATCTCCAAATTCATTGGGTCTCTTAACTGCTGGAGATAAACACAGGAGACACCGACTTTAAGCACCAAGCCCATTTACACAGAATTATGGCTACACAGCACAAAAATGCACTAAAACATGTCGCAACATAAGGTGAGGCAGAAACTCGTGTCATATTTACAGATCATTCATCCTGTAAGATATCTGGAACATCTGTCAGATTGACTGCCTCTAATTCACTGCTAACAATCACAGGTGGCTATGAGCTCATGGCACCACACAAATATTAAAAAAAAAAAACCCTTTGCATATAGTAAATCATTATTTAGAGCTCTTGTTCTCATACACACGCACACACTTAATAGTAGAAAAATATGACTTTATTAATAGAGAAAGATCGTTAAGATACATTCCTGCCACACACAGTCATCACATAGGATACTGATGGTATAAGACTGCTCATTCTGTGTAAATAAAAATGCAAACATGTCATCATCAAATAACATTACCCATCATTATCACTGTTAAAATCATCAACACTGTTACTGTCAAGTTTAAGAGTGGTGTATTAAATGATTAAAGAAAATTAAAAAACAAAACAACTAATGGCAACACATGTAAGTAGTGCTCGTGCTTTGGGCGAACGGAACTGCCAGGCGACGTGAACTGAAAATTGATATGTATGTGAGTGCCTGAATTGGAAGATTACAAGTGTGGCAAAACTAGCAATGGCTGCAGCACTTTAGTGGAGCCCAATAGCTCGAGTGTACTTATACTTTAGATGAGTTTTCTTTTTTACTTTGTGCGTTGTGAGTTTGTGTCTATGCGCGAGTGTGTGTTTGCTGCTCTTGGCAAGCGTTCAGGAGTGGGAGTAACTGCTTGGCAAGGCACACGTCTAGAGCTGGAGGTCTTTGATGGCCAATGGCATTATTAATGCTGTTTCCAGGGCAACTGAAGTTGGCAGCCGATTGGGCGATAGAGGTGCGGTAGATGGGAGGGAAAAGTGCTTACCGCAGCCTTAATAAATGTTATCTGTCCATTAACTAATTACAACTATTAGAGGCTTGGAGCGTAATGGTGTTGAGATGCAAGTAGGGTGTCCAATCCCTCCTCCCCAAGTTGATTTAAAAGCACATAGTGGGAGTGTGCCAAAAAAACACGTTTTTTTTTTCTTTCCACTTGGGAAGAAAAGTGCAGCTTCTAAATTGTGACAACAAATTGAGGTGCATTCTGCTGAGCTGTGGGCTAGTAGGTGATGGATTTTTGCAGCTGTGACAGACCACAAAAGCACGCCCCATTAAGCCAAAGAGTGAAGACCTCAATTTCATTCAGTCCAGAGTGTTAAACTGAGCTCGTGTCAAATCTCACCCCCTCTGTACCAACTGATGAGAGAGAAATCGGTGCCAATGTGTTGATCTCAGTCAGATTTTTTGAAAAAAATTACAATAAAATAGGCTTTTAGATCCCAGATGTGTTAAATATTAGTAAGAAGTGCATTAGCTATGTTTGATTTTATGTTAACAGTCGCTCGTGGTGCTCCTATGGCACTAAAGGAAAAGACCATCAATAGCTGGCGCTCTGCTCTGGTTTTCATAATATCTTGGATCCCTCTCAGTGGTGCACATATACAGCAAAACACTTCACTTATGGCTTCCAGCTGGTCCAGCGGCATTGTGGGATTTGTAGGAGTATAAATCAAGGAAGAAGTGGAGATGGCAGACAGCTGTGTCTATTTACAACCCTAAAAACAACAAGTACATATTCACACTGAAAACACGACAAGGCTTGGCTCGGCATGGCTTTCATCTGGGCAGCTCAAAGACATGGGGAACAACGGGAGTGGGTGGTATGGAGCATAAATGGGAGTGGAACAACGTGCTTTATTACACCAGAGAATCAAGATGAAACACTAAACACTGAAGACGGCTGCATCCATCACTGACTGATGCCTTTATCAGGAGAAGACGAGACGTTCAATCAAACGAGCTGGTTATCTCCATTTGTGATGCAGGACTTTAAGTATGATGGATTTGCATTCCTTTGTTTTTAAATGTGCACATGCTTTGTTGAAAAGGACAATGGAGACATTTATTTTTTCTCTCCTCTGTTACAACACCCTCACCATTGGCACAACTCGTATCGGAGCTATCCTGTGTTGTTATTACAAAGATACCAAGAGCTTTATTTTCTCGGGCTTGCCAGATCATTTCCACAGCGAGCACATTGAATGCCTCTCAGCCTAACAGTTTTCTCCTCTCTCTCTCTCTCAGCACTGCAGAGCTCCTCATGTCTCTGGGGTCTTGTTTTAGCCTTGTGGTTTGGCAGCTCTGGCTGGCTCTCGCAGCGGAACCGGCTCGACCCCCTCCTCTTCCCAGCCCACACATGTCTGTGTGTACGTCCATGCTGGGGTCATTCCAGGAGGACCGCTGGGGTTATGAGGAGCCAGACGGCACTCAATGGTCCGAAACAAGCTGCTCAGATAAATAACTTACTCAGACTTCAGTCCTCTCATCAGGAGCAGCATAGTGTGAAATGTCAACAGCAAACTCCTTAATGAAACAGAGAAGAGAACAGCACCCGAAGCTACATCCATTAGAGACTGAGCGAGAGACCACAGTGTTTCTTTGCAAATTTTCACTTAGCAATTTGGGACAGTGTCTGTGTCATCATCAGCACTGCAGCTGTAAACTAAAGGAGGGAGGGTTCGTCGAGTGGATGTTCTGTCAGTCTTGCGGCATCATGACTCGCTGCCACCGACATCACAAGTTGGCGTCCTCCTCTGCCAAATACAACGCAGCTAAGTGCTTCTTTTTAGCAGAGGGTTCGGTGTCGGTCCCGGCTGTCCAACCTCACTGTCAGGACTGGCTCCACCCCTGGGGTGGCCATACTGGAGGACCAGTTAGAATACTGGAAGCACTGCGAAGAGCTGTGATAGGCCACTGACAGCTGGCTCTTCTTGGTGGCCAGGTGTTGTCGACAGCAACAGAGAGCTCTGACCAAGATGGCCACTGCCAGGAGAAGGAGGGCGCCCCCGGCGGCCATAATGTAATACCAGTGGATGGGCAAGGGAGGCACAGGAACGCCTCCCCCTGGTGGAGAGATACAGAGTAATTGGCCAGCGGGAAAAGAGAGGAGTGGCACTTTACGTTTATTTTCTACATTTAATTCTCTGGTTTTCTATCCCTATTGGTCTTAATCATACGAACAGCAGGCGTGCACCTCATGTGAGCATGCACAAGCATGCCAGTTGCAAAAATTAAAAAGAAAAATCTCCAAGGCCAAAAAAGAAAAAAGTAAATGCATCCATTTCTGTCATGTAGCTTGGGTTGCAGTTGGAGGACAAGTTTTCACACCAAGATCATCAAGAGATTTGGTTTGAAATCAGTCCAATAGTCGATCCAATCAAATGCAATGCAATTAAATTTTTTCAAAGCTCCAATGAAATTACTTGGTGTGAAACGAAAGCCAAAATAATTAGTTATAAAAGCACCCACACACATTAAATTAAGGAGCTTCCTCTTCCTATTTCACACTGGCACAGGACCCCTGATATCGTCTTAGAACCATGCAAGAATCAGTCGGACACCACATGGGAATCCAATGTTCCAGAGCTCTCTGAGCTGATTTTGGAGTGGGATTTGTTATTTAGCTGGCTCAAGTTGGCAGATTTGTTCTGAGTACATAATTTATCCTGTTCTCTGTTCTTGGTTTTTCATTTTTCTTTTTCTCATGCATCAGCCTCCTGGCCAGTCCTCTCCTCCTCAAGCCAAGCGCTGTCTCCTTGGAGACTATCCCCACAGATCCTCTACGCTGCTGCCCCTGGCCTGAACCCCTCCCTCTCAAATTCTTGGTAAGAACCAACTAACCAGTTCCAAGAAGATACTACTCCTCTATCCAAGTCTGCTACAGCAAACCGCTGAAGATGCTGAAAGACTAAAAAATAGAGCCCACATGTAGGTTCCAGACTTGATGTGGAGAGCTGTATGCAGAATGTCACATTGAACTAGGGAAAGTGAAGCAGAGCTGAATACATCCTGATTTTTGGACCGTGTCACATAATTACAGAGGGAAATGGTGCGTGCTGCTGCTACTTCACACTGCACACACTCATTAGACAGAGCTGAGTTAGGGAGAGGAGAGAGAGACACCCGTGCTCGATGCTGCTCAGTCACTCTATCTGATTGCTTTTCACTGGGGATACTGGTGTGTATGTATGCGGTGATATTAATGTGTGTGTCTGTCAAGGGTTACAGACTGTGTTGTGCACGTGTGTGCGCGTATGTGCGAGGGCATAGGAGTAGAAAAGCCGGAGAAATGCACACACATCACATTCACACTGAAACCGCCGAGCTCTTATCTTATTGGAAGACATTATGAGATGCCAAAACACTAACATCAATCTCATAGAGTCCCCCTGGATGCTCTAAATATTTTTCATGAGGCAGACAGTTATTTAAAACCCTTCAGGCTGTGTCAGGCAGCCTAGAACTGAGAATATGTAGCTCTTTTCAAATATCTGACTCCATGAGGTGTGCTTGATTTAGCTTGCCTTGCACGCAGAGTTTGCTCTTTGGAGATTATCCCTTTGTTTCCACTGAAACTGACAAGGTAAAATTAATGCGCAACACAAAATTACTGAGGTAGTCTATTTTTGCAACTTAGTTAGAGCTTGCAATAATTAATTTGGTATTTGCAAATGTAATAATTTAGATTTTAGTGAGGCGTTTAGTATTTGTTTGGTGATGTCTAACATGCTGCTGAGTCACAGAAGGTGAATGCAGTTTCATTAATCTGGAATCACACAGCTCTCACAGCCTCTGTGTTGTCGGTGAAGGAGTGGTGCAGGCTAATTTTCTCAAACAATTTTGTGCCACCAAGCAAAAAACCCCAGGCTAGTGCATACCAACGGGCAGGAAGCAAGACCAGAGAAGAAGTAATATCATACCAAAAGTCAAACTCACCTGGATTTTCAGGAGAAAAGGCTGCGATGGGTTCTGCGAGGACACAGAGAAAGAGTCAGGCAGAGACAGAGAGAGAGAGAACGCTGTTAGATAACTTTAAATACGAGGGAAAAGTCAGCCAAATGTCACACAAATGTCACAAGACTATCAAACTCCTCCTGAGGAAATTTAAGTTAATTCCTCAGATAACACACAGTCGAATTATGGCATTTACTGGGCTCCTTTGCTTGAATGCAATTTCAAACAGAGTACATTGTGTGAGCTGGGAATTTGAGATGGGCTGTGCTCACAGCGCGTGTGTGTGTGTGTGTCCGCAAAGTTCACGCATTTCAAGTTGTTTATCTGCGGAGTCCAGTTAAACTGGAGCGGGCTGGAGGTTTTTTTTTCTGGCTTGCTGTAAATGCACAGAGCAGAACCTTCACTTTGATTGCCTGGAATGCAAACACAAAGAACTCGCATGCGTGCGCGTCTCAGTGTGTGTTAGATAGCGTGTGTGTGTGTGTGTGTTTGCATCGGGGGGGTGAGAGAAAAAGAAAAAGAGGGAGACCGACTTGGGAACTGGCGCCTTTTGGCGGGAACGCCAACGTACTGTGAAAAACTCAACTGTGTGGGGTGATAAGCAACATCCCAGCATGCTTTGGGAGTGGCAAAGGAGGAGAGGGAGGAGAGGAAGGAGGAAACACAGCAGCATGAGGGGGGAGGCTGGGCTGTCATCTTTGCCTTTCCAAGCTGCTGTGCCACTTAGAATCTCTCAGGACACACAGAAACACGAAAAAAAATGACGCAAAAACACACAAAAACAGAGAGAGCGGCAACAGAAACACGCTTTCCTTCAATTACACGTCGCCTGGTCCACCTCCTGAGCGCGCTGGACGTCAGTCAGAAGTGATGACGGCAGGTTTTTTGGCTGTGAACCCCCAACCCACCCACCCGGCTCTGTCTCTGATCTGTTTAAGACCCTGTGTGAAGCCCCTGCTCAGGCCAGATTAAAGGGGCTACGTCGGCGCTCGGCTCACACCAGGCACCCACAAAACTTGCTTGGGAAAGAGCCTGTCTAGTAATTCCCTTTGACGGCTCGGGAAAAGCTCTGTTTACAAATACGACAGGAGCGAAGCGCGAGATAGAGGGAAGAGGGAGGAAAGAGAAGAAGAGAAATCTAATGAAACATAGATTAGCATCGCCGGGGCCCACGGGGCGTTTATGGCCTAGTTTTCCTATTCTTCTTTTCTTTTCTCTCTCGCTTTTTTTTTTTTTTTTGGTGGAGGAGTAAACGCTGTCCCTCCCTCTCCTTCCTGCTTTCATCTCTGCGTTTGGTGGGATCTTTGGAGGAGAGGCTGTCTCCGAAACTGAGATGGGAGGGCGACGGAGTGGAGTGTGGGGGTGTTTATCACTTCATGTGTGTCACTGTTGAAGGACCTTAAAGCTAGAAGTAGAGGAGTTGGACAGGAAACAGGAGTGATGGAGATGATGAAGCGATGCCTGTGTTGACAGAGGATGAGAGGGCGCTGCTGGGTCAAATGGAGGTGTGTTTGCTCAGTTTTTCAGTATTTTCCTGGGCGGCTTGTGTGCGTGTGTGTGAGACTTACGTGTACATTCTTTCAGCGGGGAACTCGAGCTCATGTGGATGTTGTCTATCCAGATGTGTCCTCTGGTGCCGTGCACAAAGAAACCCTCCATCACAACCTAGCACAGCCAAAACAGAGGAGGAAGAGGAAGAGGAGGAGGAGGGAAAAGTTGAAAAAGAAGCGAGGAAGGGGGGGAGACAGGATGAAGCCAAGAGGGGAGCAGGAGGGTGGAGGCAAATTGGGACAAGCATGAGGAAGGAGGAGGAGAAAAGAGGATAAAAACTTAATATGGTGCCTGTGATTTCAAAGTTGCACTCAACACTTGCAATCATCCCCTTGTTCTCTGCAAGCATCTCCAACTGACTATTTTATGAGAACATTAACTGCTTGTGATGTCTCTGACAAATACACCGCAAACCCCCAAACAATCATGCAGCCAGTAGAGACAATGTGGCGCACTCGATCCCCTTTTGAAGTCAAACCTGGCCTAAGGTGACACAGAGGTGAAAACTGATGCCTTTATATTCTCTAAAATGAGTGCATCTCTCTAAACTACTCTGATAAAATGTGTTTCTCCTCCTGGGGTGACACAATAAAGCTATTTATCAAGCAGATATACTTAGATATAAGCGGTTTTATTACTACCTGGAAGTCTTTAGGGGAGCGGGGCAGGATGGTGCGACCCTCCTTCCACACGGGGCCCTGATCGTCTTTTAGTGTCCACAGCACCGTCTCTTCGTTGTGGCCGTCCCGCACCAGGACCTTCAGGTGGCCCTGAGCCTCCCCCCATATCTGGTACGAGAAGAGGAGGCAGAGGGGCCCGGTGTCGGCGGCCACCACGGGGCTCACGAGTCGGGCTTGCTGCTGCTCCGTCTTCAGGCTCGCGTCCATGTACAGGTAGCTGTTGGGCTCTGGAGGGGAGGGAGACATGTTGAGATGAGATGATCTGAATAAGTGTGTGTAAAAAGTCAGATACTTTTTCAAATCCTGGGCTTTAAAAATAGAGAACATGTGTTATTATATGTAAATGGGACCCCTTGTGATCAGATCTTCTGCTCTGTATCCAGTGAAACATCTACTTTATTTCTGTTTGCAAATATTAAATTAGGTGCAAAATCTGCAGGATATTAAAATGATAAACAATGACCATTTTATATGTTGTGTCTGCCTGTTGTCACACTTTAATATGATGCAATTGCAAATACAGTTTTGGAAATAATTCTCAGACCACCTGTTGCTTTCTTTACAAAATCTCTATATGATGTTTAAATATGATTTTTTAAAACTGTAAAAAAATACAAAACTCAAAGGGGTTGGCCACAATATTTTTTTGAGTCACCATTATTTGTATAAGTAAACTCACCACATTATCAAAATTAAAATATCAGTCGACAATGTCTGAAAGAAGAAACGCAAGAGCTCCACTGCTAACCAGCCTGGAATCAGCAAAACAGCTTTTCGTTATAAGAAGGAAGCGCAGCTCCACCGAGAACCGCAAAAGAAGAGGCAGAGAACAGAGGTCGCAGTGGTCTAATAAATGTTTTCCAAAGCTTCAAGTATGAGCTTCTCCTTATGCAGAGGAAGTCAGTTGGTCCTTCAGTGTGGCCAAGGACGCAGTCACGTACACACTGCTGAAAGAATGCAGCCATGTGTGGCCCAGACCAGCTCCTAATTTAGCAATCTGATCTCAGTGCATACTCAATGAATCTCTGGATGGGTTTTACACCTGCGCTTCACCCAAGACGCTTGTAAATGACAGGTGAGGAAAGGGGCTTCTTTTCAAATCCTGATCATATAAACTCTGGAAAATATAGAATAAAGTGAAAAACCTTAAAAAAAAAAACAAAAAAAACTGCTGAATGAGATATTTTACAGCCGCAACATAAAACCTGTTTTTGTATTTTTAACACATTTCCAAAAAAATGAGCGTAGCCATGTTTTAACCTTGAGTTTGCTGGTTACTGCAGTCAAATGAAAGTGAAGAAAAAGTCTGATTTAATGGGTTTTCATTTCAGCCCTCGAGGCAATAAAAACGAGGAAATTTGAAGGGCTGTGTAGCCTTTTGATATCCACTGTAAATGGATGCTGCTGAGACGAGTTTGTGCGGCGCAAATGGAGCAACATACACTAAGCATGCGTGCATTCGGTCACACGATTATCCCCATAAATCACGACCGGAGGCACACACTGGAGCAGGACTCATATATCCACGGGCGTTCATGTTTTTTCACACAGTTGGACGTTTCCAACATGACTCTTAAACAAAAAAGACACTAATCACCAGTCGCTAACAGGAATGGGATCGCCAATGCACAATAGTCGCGCTAAACAATAGGGATATGACAAATATAAACATGCAGAAGAATAGGTCCGGTGAGAGCGTCGTTGGCACATTGAGTGCAACCAGAACTCCAGCCAAGACCCTCGGGGCCTATTTCTCTCCATTCCCTTCCAGGTAGATGACTTAAACAACGGAAAAGTCCAACAAAATGCGTGCCACTCCGTTTGTTTACACCAGAGGATGTTTAGTTTGCAAATTGGATACCGACATGAATTCCATTGTGGGAGAGTAAGTACTGTATGCATGAAACTGTGTGTGTGTGTGTGAGAAAAAAAAAAGAAGAAATTGCATGTGTATGCCCTTGTATGTGTGAGAGAGTGACTCAGTGAGGCGTCTGGTGAAGAATTTCTTAAGTGGGCCCTGTGGGAAAATGTCCAGTATCAACAATCTGCAGATTAAATCACCTGCTTTATCGTGAACAACTGTGTGTGCGTCTCATAGCAATGACGTGCACTTTTTTTTCTTCTACGGGCCAGAAAAAGTACCTCGAGAATGAGAAATTACAGAATCCATCAGTTTTCTTTCAGTCATATCACAAGATTGGTGTTTACAGTAGCATCCGGCCCGTTTTTTTTTAGTGCGGCCAGGTTATTGAGTGACTGAACTGATAACCTTTTCCTGCGTGTGGTCTTTCCAGCGTATCTCACAAGCAGTATCTGGAGGGACAAATCTTCCTCCGAGTTGACAGCTCCCCTCTGCCCGCCATACGCCCAGAGTCGACACTTCAGACAGTGTGTGTGACAGTGTGTCCCTTGGCCCTTTGCAGCCTCGGTATAAATGTGTGTGCTGCACATGACAGTTATTTTTTTTTGGAGGGGGTTTGCATGCACTATGTGTGCAATTGATTCATATTTAGGCCTTTTTGGGCGTTATTACTCATTTTAATGTGTGCACTAAACACTTATTCCATGCCTTGTCTTGAAGCTCTTGCACAACACCCCCCCTCCATTGTTGTGCCTCTTGTTCGCCAGACAGCTCATAATCGAGACCGCCTCGCAACACACAGCACAACAGAGCATTATTAATCTATTTCACAGTGGTCTCCTGCAGCGGGAAGCAAACAGTGATTCAATCTGTGAAGTCTCGTTATCGCGCTTTTTTTCACTAGCCTACTATATTAAGGCAAATAATATAGCAGAATATGGCGGCTAATTCTCATTTCTGTGCTTTATTACTGGTTTCATGTGTGAGGTGAAGAGGTGAGGAGTTTGTGGTTTCGGGGTAACATGGGAAAAAAGGGAATCCCATAGAGGATTAAAAAGTGATTCGATAGTGGTGAAATAATGATCCTGTGCTGGGCTGGGATTTCTGACCTTTGACATCTGCGTGGAAATCAAAGGCTTTGTGTGGCGTGTCAAAATGGCTGGAAATGATACTTCATACATAAAAGCCACAACCTGGCTAATCTAAGCAGCCCTTTTCCAAGCGGCCCCTGATGAAAGAAGCTGCTTTGAAGCCCCCCTGTCAAAGACGGTTATGACCTAAATAGGTCACGCTTCAGGAACATTTCCTGCTTTGCCGCGAGATCTGTTGTCCTGCTGAACATGACCCAGGTGACATCACAAATTTGAGGAAAAAAAAAAAGAAAAAGGGGGAGGCCACGCTGAACCTCCTGTTTAATTCTCTCCAGCTGCAGAAACGCTGAATCTTTCATGCAGACTTGCTAAAAACCAATGAATTTTAAAACAAGGTTGGGATAACAATCCTTTACCCAGCCTATGTTAAATTCCAAACAGTGCTATAAAAAGCCCTGCCTAAACCCAGCAGGATACGTCGTATATAGCTTTTAATAACATGCCAAAAGCCGCACTTGTGATCCGTGGGTACATATGAAGAGAAAATGAATAATTTCTTCAAGGAATGTCTAAGTAGATGGAAGTCTACAAAGCATCATCTGGGATGTGCCGGAGGTAATGGAGGGGCAGTAAAGGACAGCAGGGAATAACTGCTCATCTCTGGAATCTCCTGCTCTGAACTTAATTGGAGCTACTGGGTCTTAACCCCTTCCTGCAGACACTTGATTCTGACACTCGGAGGCGAGGGAGCGGCGAGCTGCTGGATGTCACATGTGTCACATGTGAGGCTGTATGTGCTTGACACAGCGGTGGTGTCTGTTTCCCTGCGATTCCGTCGATTCATTTTCATTCTCATTCACTCGGAAAGAGCCGTGTGGCTGGCAGACAATGCTGCGGCTAAATTAGACTGGTTTCAATTTAAGAAATTATTTTAATCAAATTGAAGAAGGACTCAATGAAGACTCAGAGGGAGAATGACTCCATTTAATTAGAGAAAACACTGTCTCGTCTAGACCCACTGAAGTTGATAAAATAAACTGAATGCGTTTGTGCTCGTGCAATTTTCTGCACCCAAATAAAATTCCCCTTGCAGCTGCATACATAAAAGCTCCCAGTTGACAGAGGCTGACACAGAAGCCCATCAAACACCAAAATCAAATTTGAGATGCCCAACCTGAGCTGCTTTGTTTTGCAAATTGGCCCCAGACCGAAATGTTAGACAAATTTTAAACAGTTCCAAAAAACCTGCTGCAGATCCATCAAACGCCTGTTACAGAGAGAAAAAGTGAACCTCCCCGAAGCAAATCTGAGTCATTCTGCAAACCAGTCGGCGCGTGAGTCAGTCTTCGCATTACAGTCGAGGAGACTCACCGTGGCTGTGCAGGGACCAGAAGAGTGGGGCGTTGGGGTCGTGCGTCCACCCACACAGGCCATGGTCAAAGTCACACACACTGTCTGATGGAGGGGCGGTGGATGCTGTAGAGGTGGAGGAGCAGCGAGAAAGGAAAAAAAAAAAAACAGCGTGTCAAAGGTTAGAGAGGTCTGAGAAATCACTGTCATTTCACATACAGAAGCATTCACAGCTGCTCTGCATAATAAAACTCTTTCATCTTCCCAATACCACAATTAATCCACCATTTCTTATGCTTGCACGTAAAACACTTTGGTGCCTTGTCTCACCTGTAGTTGTAAGGGGGACTGTGGTGGTTTCAATGTCAGCTGGAAGAGTTGGTGTGACTGTGTCTGCCGGTGTTGTGGTTTCTGCAGAAACAAACACAATTCAGGGTCAAAGGGCGGCTCATAAAACAATCGTCAGACATTAGGAAATCCATTCTTTGACCTTGTGAACATTTCAATATGATTTCTTTATATGATTGAATAAATCACAATATCATAATATTTCCACCTTCAAACAGTTTTAAAAACATTGCATGAGACTTGACGGGTTTCAACATAAACAAAAGAATCCAATCCTGTAGCATCGAGAGCTTTTACAGAGTTTAAGCAGAGCTGTCGATGAGCTGGTGTGCTCAAGCTGCAGCTCCAGAGAAAGCAACAGTGTAGAATAACATCTTCCAGAAAGCATTAGCTTGACAGAGACAAAATCTAAGCATAAGACGATTTGTTTTGGGTGGTATATCTCCAACCAGAGATGGACTTAAGAGGACACTGCAATGTCTGTTTAACAGATCTTTTATGTGGACATTTTTCCGTACATTAGGGAGGATCAGGAAATACAGAAAGGAAACACAGATGTGAGAGTGGAAATTATAAGTTCACAAAGGCACAAAGAGCCAGAGAGAAATGAGGTATAGTGTCCTTATTGGTAACTTTCCACTTCTGCCTATACTCCAGTGGTTAAGACAGGGAGGGAAGACAGTTATGATAACTGGGAAAGAAGACTGGACATGGCTAGCCTGGCTCTGTCCAAATGTTAAAGAAGAGTTTGTTAATTTTATAGAAAAACACACAAAAACTCATTTTTTGGGGGGGTTGTGAAAGTAAAATCAATTGGAAGCTCTGATGTTGTCATTTATTATGTGTTCGCCATCTGGTAGAAATTAATTGCTTATATGTTTTCAAATTTTCAGAGCAACAAAATGCTTATTTGAGGCTACAAGCTGAATGCTGGTTTTAGTAATGTGGGATGCATCAGAAATAGGGACTCGTGGCCTCCTAAGGTATAGCGTTTCAGTCTGAAGATGCTACTTAGTGAACTTATGGAATATAACATTGACCTTAAGAAGATGCCTACTCATGTCTAGGAAGCTGTTATGTTGAAGAAATATAGGACTTTCTGACATGGCTAAGAAGAATTGTGCACATTTAAACTTACAAAAACTATCTACGATGACCCAATAGGAAATAGTTTTGCCTTCACTGTCTTGTTTTAATAAGCTGTCATTCTTGTTCTTGTCTGGCAGAGACACAAAAATGGGTGCTGAACAAATCCTGCCTCTCTCCCCACTGCAGTGGAGTAAACACACCAACAACCCAGCAAAGTGCTCGTTTTATTATTTAATCTAATAAGAGTCATGGCAGCATTTCTTCGACTGGGTCAATTTCTGTAACACCCAAACAACTGCGGTTCACTGTACAAGCAGTGGAAGCACATTTTTAAACTTGACATTGGGAGTTTTTCTGCTGTTTTGTCATGATTTCCAAACCGCAAATCAGCTCACAAACAGCATCGTCAAGTGTCCTATTATGGTAAAAATTAAAGCACATGCTGCAACTGAGAGTGTGAGCTCACTGTCCAAAACTAACTATGTCTTGTCTCCTGTCAGAGTCAGTCGGAGGGAGGCGCAGGAGGCCCCCGGTTCACCCAAGAGGGCCCCTGTCATGTTGTGTCTGGGAGCTTCGGCGTCAGTATCTGTCCAACACATACACTGGCTCAAACATGCAGACACACGGGCACGCATGCTAATACACACACAGATGCAAAAATCACACACACACACACACATATCTACAACTCCTGGCGCTGAGGCTGATGGATGGATGTGTCTAACAAACTCCCCTCGACCTTGGACAGGATGATCGCACTCTGAGACCACTCACTGGCTGTCAGGGAGGCTGCACGGCTCACACAGTCCATCTCCCACTCTGCTGTGTTGTGCATGTGTGAGTCTCTGTGTGTGTGTGTGTGTGTGTGTCTCCCTCACTCCATAACTCACACGCGCTCGGGCGAACAAACACAAAGTGAAAAAGTATGATTTTGGTCTGCTATTAACATCCATCGAAAGCCGCATACATCACAAAAGACAACACACAAAGGGCAAGAAATTGGCTGCGCTCATTAAAACACATTGGTGCGCAAACACACACACACATGTTGAGCAGGCTGCAGATGGAATGCGAAGTGGGAGAAAGCAGCGTGTTATTAGGAGCAGATGGGTCATTCCTCGTGTTATGGGAGTGTACACATAAGTTTCGGTCTTGAGCGTCGATCCAGATTTATCATGAGAACAAACTGTGAGAGCCGGTTTCAGATTCTGTCTGTTTAAGCATCACACAAAGTCATTAACAACACATTTACACAGCGACGTGATTTTTTTTTTTTGTCACTTTCGCTTAACTAGATTCAAACATATTGCACTCGTTTGACATTAATTACCACTAAAATGAGTAAGCGCATTCCTCAGCGCATTAGACTTCATATCCCTTTTGTCAGCTTTCCCTGTTTTGTCTCACTGAAGCCTATACAAACAACTCCGAGGCTTGGATGTCTCATGATCTCATGTGAGACAGATTTCACCACTTGAAAAGGAAACACGATCAGCACACAAACATATAAAAAAGAGAAGAGATTCATGGACTCGCGATGCCTGTTGATGGCACTACTGCTGGTGAATTTCCTCTTTCTGTCTCGTTCTCATTAAAAGACTGTAAAAAGCAATACGGGCAACAAACACAACACGATACACAATTGATCTGCTTTAAAGAACTTCCTGTGGAAATGAGCGCAACGGCGCCCCAGCTGGAGAAATGGCACAGATGAAAGGCCCGGCCACAGCTGGCGACGGCTTCTGACATTAACCCAGTGTTAATGTCACGTCCTTTATGCCAGTCATTAACTACCTAATGAGACTCTTATCGCTGCTGGCCCACTGGGAAGGTAAAGCAAGAAAAGCAGCCCTCTTCTTCAAACCTCTCTTCCTCCTGGCTTCCTAACGCACCTTCTTTCCGTCTCTTGTGTTCTCTCCTCTTGTTTGCGTTTTGTGTTTGCCGTTTTTTATTCCAACCTAACCTTTTGAGTCCTCTAGTTAAGTCTTGGGACCGGGTGTTAAAATAAACCTCGCGCATTACCTGGGCGCCGGTGCACCCCGACTAAACACACATAAACACAGAAACACACAGCCGAGTCCATTAAGATTCTAGCCAGCTCCTGAGCACTCTATGCTTTAAAAGGTCAGGCCTTGTCACAGTGTAAATGTGCTGACCTTTCCAGGGTGTGACAGGAGTGTCGGGGGCAATGGGAATGGGACTGACTCGTGCGTTTTGTGTGGGTGTGTATGTGACACGGAGAGAGAATGTGTGTTAATGTATGTGACCTGCCTACCTTGCCCTGAGCCCTGTCCTTGAGGTGCGTGAGGACGATGTCACAGAGCTGTGCGAGCATGTCTGAGGGTGCACGGGTGCTTCTACTGTACATGCGCATCGGAGCGCCTTGCAATGCAGGAAAAGTCCCTCTGCAGCAGAGTGTTGTCTTACATAATGCGCCTACTGCTGCAGGTGATGATGCAAGTCATCATCATCATGCGCGGGATGAGACACCAACACTTAGAAGAGGACCCAGGGGAACGGCTGACACAGATAATGGAGATGTGCACCACACGTATGCATCTAGCGCAGATAAATAATTTTTCAGGCTTGTTTTTTTTATTTTTTTTTTAACAGACACCAAAAACGCACACAAACACACAGCGCGGCGACGGCCAACCCTCCCTGCATAAAAGACATTGCTCACTCCTAAAGAATCTGACTCAGCAATATGTCAGAGAAGAGAAAAAAAAAAATCTTCAATTATGTAGAAAGCCTTTCTGTAAATCTCTCCCTGGCAGTCCTAGGTACACACACACACACACACACACACACACACACACTGATAAATGGATGCGTACACAGAGCCCAAAAGAAGACGAAGGGAAAGACGCCATTGTTTGACGTTCTCCAGGGTGGGGTTAAGTGCTCAGATCAAGGTTCATCCACACACACACAGACGAAACTGTGACGACGAACCCTGAACCAAGTCTTCACCTTAAAATTTAATCATGTACAAAATGGGAATTTGGGTGACAGATCCCCATAGTGTGACTGTGTAAACAGATTTATGTCCAAACACACACATGCACTGCAGAAAGTGGATTTGAGCCGCGGTTCTCATCTCATTTAGCTTTCTGGTTTAGTGATGGCAGTTTACTTTCCTGGATTCAACTCGAAATTACACTCAGTCCCTTTAAATGAGGTTTACTAGACTTTAGCGTTGGGTGTCTGATGTTCATGTTTCTTCTGATTTTTCTGGTGCAACTAAACTGCCTTTTTTTTTTGAGTAGGATTACAGTAACTTAAATGACAAAAATCATGCTTTACGTTTTGGGTAATGCAAAGTTGGAAAAAACAGAAACTTCTCCCTAAATTTAAGCTGCAGGAATGCAGGCTGTTCATTTAAGAGGAATCAGGTGATTTAAGTGGATGACTTCAACTTGTGGCATTAATATTACTTGTTAACTTAATTTAACTTAATTCAGTTGCATGTTACAAACTGAAACAATCCATTTAAGCAATTTTCTTTTTCAGGGATGTGGTGACAAAGTATCCACACAAACATAAATAAAGCAGTAAACTGATGACCGTTAAAATGAGCGTTTCTCTATTTACTGGGATTTTGAAAGCTTTAAATTATTGGTGTGCATGTGTAAGCTCCACTACTCAGTGCTCCCATATTAAAATGATTCTACCTGGAAGAGGTGAAGAGACGATCTATATTTCTCACAGATCTCTAAAATTTCCTTCCTGCGCTCATAAATTTTTCATTCTGGGAGTACGTTGAGTAGAAGAGAAAAAAAAAAAACTGTCACTGTAGCGGCTCTGTGTGCGAGACAGCTGTGCAGGAACAGGGGGAAACAGAAGGAGTCAGGACCAACAGCAGCGAGCATGGAAAAGAGGTGCGAGTGATGAGTAACAGAGGAGAAGGAGGAGGAGGAGGAGGGGAGGAGGAGGAGAGGAAAAGAGAGGAGGCATGGTTACCAAAAAAGAACAAAAACATTTACAGACCCACGCACTGGGCCTCGGGCAGGGAAAAGAAAGAACTGCAAACCATGTGCAGGAACCGGGGGAGAGAGAGAGAGTCCTTATTCTGCTTCTCTGTAGTAGCTGCTGCTGTGTTCAAACTGCATTAGGAAAGATTTGGGGTAAAAATATATCCATTTCATCAGCCTAAATCATAGAAACGAGAACACTGAAGGCATCAGCGGAGACAGAACCGAGAGAGAAAATAGTCTGAGTGGAAGGGGAAGTGAATGATTTACAGCATGTCAGCAGTAGTCCACTAGTCCTGCTGAGCTTTGTTGGTCTGTGAACAATATGTGACCCCTCACAGTTTTCTGTGCCACATTCTCCCACAACTCCTCTCTGGAAAATGTGCTAATCTCTTTCATTTTGTTGCCATCTTTGCGGTTGGTTTTTTTGGAACGCCTTTCTGCGGTGCGCTTTCCACAGGTCACTCGTCAATCAGCAGTTAATGTAAAACACATTGTTTCCTGTGTTTCGCAACAGATCTAGGGGGAAATAAAAATGCCAGAGACCAGGTGAGGAGAGCAGCAAACCTAAGCAGCCTTCATAAACGAGACTATTGCATTCTATTACTTCATATTTTTTCGACACAGAAATACACAGAAGTGGATGCGCTCACATTATATTACACTACATGTGTTTAATCTTGCATTAAAGTGCGCGTACACTGTGCTGACACGTGGTAAAGGTGATAATGACAATGTCATGTTCTTAATATTTCATATCAGCCCTTATGCAAAGACACAAACACACACATAAATCACCTTAATGAGGGCATAGCCTGACTTGCATTTTGTAGTTGCACTCTGGTGTGTGTGGGCGTGTGAATGTCATGAGCCCGGAGAACATACATGCCTCTTATTCTGTGGCTTCTTCGGTAAATGTGGGTCTGTGCTTATATGTGAGCATGTTGAGCTATACAGTCCAGCCATCCTGTTCAGGCACAGAGGGAGTGATAAACAGTGATCGTCCATATGTGTGTGAGTGACGCTGAATGTGTGTGTGTGGCTGCAGCACTGCAGCACATCTGGGTAACAGACCACGCTGGAAAGTGAACAAACCAGTGCTCTCCATTGCTCTGGGGATGCATTCCTTTAAACCAAACCCTGTCCACTCCCTGCTGATGATAAGAGAAGCTTACGGAGAGTTCGCCTCCAATCCTCCAGGTGAAACAATATCAGAACTGAATCGAAATCGGAACTTTTCCAGGGTCAAGTTTTCGCCGTGCGGTCACTTTCCCCTTTCTCAGCAAACACTGGGTGTTTCTTTTCACCTCTGGCAGGCTCTAATGACTCTCATACATATCTAATGCGAGCCTCACTCTTCCATCGAGCCACCTTCCTCAAGGTCCATTCAGTCCTGTTAGACCACTTGAGTTCATTACAGCGTGGGGCAAATAATTCAGCCTGGAATACTGTATGCGGCGAATTATCATATATAAAGTGATTCCCTGTCACAGAAGCAACAGCAGAATGTCCTACCTGGAAGGTCACAGCCCAGTATCTCCACTCTCATCCCAATTCCTGCTGGTGACCATCTCTCTGGATAGATCCTGATGTACTGGGCCACAGTCTCCTCAAAGTGACGGAGCTCCGGGGTGTCGTAGTGTGTGTTGCCCTCGAAAATCTGCACAAAAAAAACACACAACTGCTATTGAACTTGTCTTACACAAGAGCATCAGTTTCCCCATCTGCCTTCCTCCCTCCCTCACCAACCTTGGGCAGGCTGGTCTTGCTGTCCATGATAAAATTCCACTCTTTTCCATTCAGGCTGTACGCGACTTTGTACTTCCGAACAAACGCCCGGTTATCGGTGGTGGCTCCGCTCGCTGCGTCTCCTCCTCTCGCTCCCTGGGTGATGACGCCACGCACCGTCTTGGGCACAGCGAGGTCCACCTGTGCAGGTCAGATTTGGATTAATGGATGGTGATTAATGCATTTGATGCATGTGCTCATTATTTAAGCCCGTTTGTCTTTGGAATGGCAGCACGCCAAAGACAGAATTTAAAGGTGCTACTTGTTGCATATACAAACATTTTCACTGTGAAAGCAACAACCCTGCACTTACATATATGATTCATTCATGTTAAAATACTTCTTTAAAGAGATAGTCTGGATTCTTTGAAGTGTGGTTGTATGAGGTACTTATTTATAGTCATGGTATAATAAGTGTATTATCAACGGGAGATGATGGAAGCAGACGGGAGGATCAGCATGGAAGCTAAACAATGAACTGCTTTAGATGAGGTCAGCAGCAAAATATAGTTTAGAAACCTAAGAAAGGCCCAGCTACAAAAATCAATATCACTAAGTGTACTTTTAAAATTCAGGCAACACTTTATGACTGGGAAGTATGGTTTTACAGTATGTCAGTCTGTGCTCTCATAAAACCCACCAGACTAGGTTCACAAAAACAGTCATTTTACTGAATACAAAACAAGAGTTGTTGGTCTACAGTGGCCTTGATTGTTCAGTTTGTGTTACTGGGTGACTTTAAATGTAAGTTTGGCACCAACACGTAGCACAGAGTCACACAATAACAGAATATAAAGTCCTGTTTGCTGTGATGTAAAATCCCTGTTTTTGTCAGTGGAGTCTGGTGACTTTGCAGAGAGTCGTATTAACTGCATCAGGTAAAATACTCTAAAACTAATGGAAGTTTTGTAAGCTGGGCATTTTTAGGTCACTAAAATATGTCTTGTTGCTGATCAGGTCTACAGTTGTTCATTGCGTAGCTTACGTCTGCTTCTTCTTGTCGACTGTCAACCACTGGAGGTAAAACTTCAACCAGCCCCCCTTCAAAGAAACTGAACTATGAGCACGAACAAGTATAATTATCTTCTATCACCCAAAATGTAAAATAAATGCAACTAAAAGCCTCTTGTACCTGCAGCCACTCCTCTCCGGTCAGGGGCTGTGCAGGGGCAGGGAACCAGCCGGAGCGACTGGCCACCAGGCGGGCGGTCCCAGGACTCCACACCATGTCCCTGCTGGACGATGCTGAGATCTGGGCATCGGGGAGCAGGCCGGACAGCAGGCCCTGCAGGTCTGAACACGGAGCATCTGGGGCGGAAAGCAGAGCGGGGCAGAGATTAGTTTAACCTTCACTTCAGGAGGCTTGATGGTGAAGTTTGAGCAACGTATACTTATGCTGTTACACATATTCCCACCAGGGAGCTGTTAAGCTTCGCCGCAGGATTGCACTACTGGCCACTAAAGCATTAGGAGTTTAGACTGGAGCAAATAGGAAAGGATGAGGTGAGCGACTGAGCAGGGAGGGAAGGGAAGAAAAAAAAAAACGAGAGATGTGTAACGCGGCACTACTGCTTCATGTTCAATATGCAATTAGGCTGCCATTAGTGAGATAAAAGCATATGTTAAGTCTGCTGCTGAATGGGCACACTTCTCTGCACTTCACATCTTGTGCAAATATTTGAGTGTCATTTAAGGTTGCTTGCGGTATTGTTTCTTTATATTCTGCACAATAGCTTGTCTGCTCACTATGCAGCAGGCATTTTAATGTACATTCACCGGAAACTTCTATGTACACGTTAAAGCACTTGGAAATGAAACTCATTCAGATATGGATGGGTGAGTAGCATTGAAAATAACTTGCTGAGGGAGGATGAGAGAGGGAGAAATGAGGATTAAGGGGATAAGAAAGGTATAATGTAAGGAGCTGGGAGGCAGAGGAAAGAAAAAAAAGCCGGAGAGAGACTTGGAGCTGGAGATGACGGCTCGGGGAGGATGGGAAAAGGAGAGCAAAATGTAGAGATGAGATGCCTACGGAGACAAACAGTGGGAGAGGGAAAGGGTGGAAGTGGGAGGAGTGAGAGACGAGCGGAGAAGAGGAAGAGAGGAAGGGAGATGGGGGGAGATGTTAGTTGTGCTGACGGTTTAAGAGAACACAGATCAAAGTTTCATGCTGTTATGTCACTGCAAATGTAGGAGATGTAAATAATGAATAAAAAGCACAGGGAGTGTGTGTGTGTGTGTGTGTGGACATCGCAACAAGGCGTGCCTGCTTTTGAGGTCATGGGCTATATTTAGAAACTGCCTGTGTGTAGTTGTACCTGTACTGTAAGAGCTAATAGTTATTTCAATAGCAGCTGTTGGGGCTGAAATAAATCACAGTTTCTGATGTCGGAGTGAACGGGGGAGACATGAATGATTGATCACTTCTCAATATGGAGCAGCAAAGAAGACACATCAAGGAAGTGTCTTAAATCATGAGAGGGGAAAAAAAAAAACAACAAAACGGGGTGGTGCTGAGACAGAAAGCGAGGAGAAGTGGGAGAGCACCGGGAGAGGGTAATGACACTGCTGGAGCCTCTGGAGGGAAGAAGAGAAGAAAAAAAGTTTCCTTTAATTAGCCTGAGGGTTGCTATGTTTAAAAGATAGCAGTGGGAATGTGGGAGAGTCTGAATACACATGTATGTATGAATGTGTGTGATCCTGGGTTTCATGGTTTCGGAAGTTAAATGTCGTTAAGGGTGATCTTTTATTAAAGCAATTTATATTTAGCGTTCAAACCGTCTTTTTAGTCTTGGTGGGAAGGGAAGGGATGGGAAAGGTGCAGAACTGCTGTTTTAAACTCCTTAGTTACTAAACTGGGGAATCAAATAACTGCCTGTTGACCAAAAAGTGCATCATTGCAACAAATGCATTTTATCCCCGTGAAAAAGTGTGCATGATGAGGGTGGAGGCATAAATCAGCAACAAGACTTTCACCCAGGAGACGTTGGTTTGCATCTTGTGTGGGATTATTATTCTTAGACTTAAAATCACTTAAGTTTAGACAACAAAACTACAAGATTAGGTTCAGAAAAATATCACTTCCACAGCAATGAGTACTTGTTAGCAGCTTGGTTAAGTTTAGGCATCAAAATGACTCGGTTAGGTTTAGGAAAATAGAACGGTGTGGGTTAAAATGAACCTTTCGCACCATGTTTTTAAGTTTTTCCTTTATTTTCTGGGTCACCATGGTGGTAAGTCTTGCCTCATCTAAGGTATAATTGGTGTGTGTTAACTTGAAATGCATTTGTGATCAGTCAGTTTCCTCCAAAACACAACTGACATTGAAGTGCCAGTTAGTTGTATAGGAGTTGTTTTTTTGGAGACAGACATGGAAAATTTGTCTCTATGAATCCAAAGCAGGATGATTCTGGCAATTCTGGCAAAAAAAAGGTTTGAAAAATCCAACCTTGTGCCACACGCTCACCTGTAATCTGGCATCCGTAGAGCTCGAAGCGAAGGGCGATGCCGTTCCTCCAGGTCTGAGGTCGGATGCGAACAAACCGGGCCAAAACTGGCTGCGGGACGCGGTTCAGAACCACCTCGGCCGGGTCTGTGTTCGCGTGGAAAATCTGCGAAAACAAAGACAAAAGGTTGATGAATATGTCAGGAGATACTGTACATGGCTGTGTCTTATTTTTCCTTCTCTCATTCACAGACACCAACTCTTTGCTTTAACACCCTCCCACAGTGCACAGTTTCGCTTGGCTTCACACTCACAGTAGCAGGCCGGACAAAGCAGAGACAACCCAAACACGGATCCAATGTCACCAGCCCAGCTGTCGATGTGTTTTGGGGTCAAAGGTTCGGCACTGGGAGGCTGGGAAAGCCCAACCAAGGAGGAGGTTTTCTCTCTTTCGCCTCTATGCTCACACACACACACTGCTACCTCATCCACTGACTTCCATACACCTCCATGCTGGTGGCCATGGGAAGCTGTGGGAGACATGACCTGACACGACCAAACATGATTAGCCCTCAGACGCAGGAAGTCTCTCCAGGTGGGCAGGATGTGAGTGAAATTCACTTCCTAAGGCGTCCACCTAAAAGCATCAACATGCAGTTCTTCTCCGTGAACACTCCCTTTCCGTCCATTTGCTTCTGAGCGGCTGGGGTGGGGCGGCAGGGGTCGGAGGGCAAACGTAGCCACGGTGGTCAAGTTACGTCCTGTTTTTTGGGGCAGAAAAGTGCCCCGTGATGCTCAAGGGCACCGGATGGGAACGCCGAATCGGAACACCGAATCTTTCCATTATGTGTCCCAAAAACCATAACATCCAGTTTATAATTATGAATCACTTCCTCCTCTTTCCGTTTTCTCTCCACATCCTCTTCCTTCCACTCTCTCGGTCTGTTGTTACCACATCACTCTGAGCCCATTCATGTCAAACACCTCCATTTTCTTCTTCTTCGAGACCGCACAGTTGATATCTCTCCACACCTCCCTGTTTCACCCCCACCAGCAGAAACCACACAGAGACACAGGAAACCACAGGAAGCCACACAAACACACATACGTCCTACACACTCAGATAAGCAAAGGAAGCGTCTTTTAACCGACTGTTAAGTGTCATTCACTCTGTCTGTGGTTGACCGTGCCGCCTGATAGGAGAGCTGCTGTTGACCGAGTGATATCTGCGAAACCACATCACAGCTGCAGCGCACAATTCAGAGATGGAGAGACAACTGCTACAAGCAGCTGAATTAAACATTAAAGGCATCATTTCTAAAAACAGTTCCTACATGATTTCTCTTTCACAAGATGATCAAACCTAAGCACGCTCCCACAGCCTAAAAATTTGATTCCCTCTGTTGTTTCATCATAATTGTAAGTGAAAAACAGTCTGCTTTCTTTCTGTTGGAGTTTTAAAAAAAATGACTCTTCCATCCTGGTGTAAAGTGACCTATTTGTAAAATTCCCACATCTCTCAAAATGACATTCCAGAAATTCCATATCCAGCCGGGAATATGAGCGATACGACTTCAAAATCCCACTCAAGGGGCTTTATTTGATTTTGGGCATGGCCTGATTTAATCAAGTGGAGCTGACACTGGTAATACAAAGCAGCGTGAGTGTTTGAACAGATAAGCAGGGCTATCTGTGCTCTATCTGCTGCTGGATGGAGGATAGACAGCTGTTCTGTTTACCTAAGAGGCAAAAAAAAAAAAAAAGTGGTGGATGCGGGCTCTTATGGGGGTTATGTAAACACCCACGCATGCTCATACAAAGACAAGTGTATGATGGAGGGTCCGCCTTACACATAACCAGCCCGTCTTTTTCCACTCCTCGATATTCTGCCTTCGAAACAAAGAGCAGCGGGGAGGAAAGAGAGAGAGGACGGGAAAACAGAAAATGACTGCGGGGAGGAAGAGCATCCTCAGAAGAATAGTGTAACACAGATGAGGAGGGAGGCGGGTGTGAGACAGAGGACAGACGAAAAGGCTGAACGGAGGGCAGAGGATGTAAGTTAGGAATATGAACAGGAGAATGTGGAAGAGAAGGCAGGGAGTGGTGGGGAGGAGGAAGGAAAGAACAACGACTGGATTCATCACTGAAGCAGGAAATAGTCCATTTAAGTATTTATCTCGTAATAAGGCAAAACAGAAAAATTCAATGGAATTTCCTCAATTATGAATTAAATTACTGGCACAGCTTCGAGTTCACAGCGTTGGACAAACAGCATAAATCAAGAAGCAGAATAGTGCAGCTGACGTTGGCGTGCAAGCACTGTGCTACCAAAAACTTTTACTTGAGTTTCACTTCAGTAAAAGAAAATACGTGATGAGCCATGATAAAAAAAAAATAAAAAAAACGAGCTGTCACATAAAAGTGATGCATGTCCAAGTCCATAAATAGTTTGGTTTTAAAAGTGGCAAGTTTGAAAGATGTCTCTAAAACATTTGTTGACTTCCCAGAAATGCCTTGTTCCAAAGCGCAAAATGCCCACCATCACTAAAAGGCCATTAGCTGGTGCATTACAATACTGCCAGCTGCTCTTCTTTTGTTTTCATCCTCGGATAAAAGCTGGAAATATGGCCAACATTACTGTCACAAAAAGAACAATTTGTTCAATAAGGATCGGCTCTCGAGGGGCTCTTTTCATTTTTCTTTTGGATGCGAGCGGAGAGAGAAGAAACTGAGACGGCAGAGAGAGAGAGCGAGCGATGAGGACAATGAGGAGTTGTCCGTCTTCTCTGAGCTCCTTCTGTCTTCTCCACTTCCTCCATCAATTGTCATGATACCTGAGAGGTCACGCATTTCACTCCTGACCAGTAAAGGTTAAAGGTCAAAGGACTCAGGAAGCAGATGGTTGGTCATTGACTAGCTTGGAGACAACATGGTTAATTTTTTACTAACTTGGAATGAAGGTGCCGCTTGAAGGAGCATCGGCTTTAAGGGTTCGAACATGTGTGTGGCGTGTGACTCCTGTAATCTGCCTAACAACTGCCATTCTTTTTGGCTTGTGTATGTGTGTCAGGACGAGCCCCGCCCCTCACGTGACGCAGGCTGAATAATTAATGTTGTCATGTTGTGTCTCCTGGTGTGGAGAGTCATGAAAATATAACGAAGACCTTCCAACACACACATACACACACACAGCGGTATGCGACGGTCAGACTTGTTTGTGTGGACACTGGCGGGACGCAGGAACCGTGGGTATTTAAGTATTGATGGCCTCGACGGAGAACCAGGTCACTGTGAAAAGTGTATGTGTTATAGTAAACAGCCTCTCTGAAGATCGACATCAGTAAATACAGTGAGCTGCGCAAAATCCTCTTAAAAATAAATAACTAAATATATTCATGTTAAAAAAAACGGACAAACTGGCAGCAACTGTGCCAGGAAAAATATGTTTAAAAAAAACAAACAGTGCATTGCTGTAACGTGTTAAAATGGCAAAAAAATTGTGAAGACAGCAGCAAATTTTGTAAAGATATTATAGTTCAGTATATTTAAATATGGTAGGATAGTGTACATTTACAGCCAAGTGTTAAATACCATTTGTAAAAACACAGGAGCAGAAGGCTGACCTTAACAATCCCTGATATACATTAATTTTCCTTCAAATAACGGTATACCTGTGAAATAATTATAATATATATCATTTAATAAGGTTATGTCATATATAAATTGAATTTCCCTTCTGGGATAAATAAAGTATTTTTCATTTCATTTCATTTCAATATAATTAGAATAATTATATGAATATACAAACTATTTTTAAAAATCTCTATAGTAATATATCATTAATTGTTTATACATACACATCATCACATATATATCATAAAATATTTTTTTCTTTCAAATCTCTATAAAACAGTATTTAAGTACATTATAGGAATTTGTAAAAATACAGATCTTTGATGTTATTTACAGTTTTTTTTTTAAAGGATTAATATGTAAATTACTTCTGTTCCTTCTGTAATTCTACTCAGCATTATTGGTTGTTTAACAGAACAGGTAGAAATCTGTAAAATAACTCAACTGTAGTTAACAACTGTTTCTTTCCACAGTGCAGTGCATCCCCATGTGCAGACAGGATTCCTCTGGCTCTTGTTAAAGCAAAAGAACATTTGTTTGTGGAAAATGAGGCGTGGATGGACGTATACATCATCGCTTGATTCATTTACCATCTCCCTCTTTCTCACTACATTCTCTGCTTTTTCCCCCTCCGAGCTGATGGCACCGGGGGGAGATGTGGCGAGCTCTGCACAAGACATTATTCCTCCCGCAGCCGTTTTTCATTCACATGTTGTTCTCTTGATCCCAGCCTCTTTCTTTGTCCACTGCACTCCCCACCCGCCTCCCCCCCTCTGTTTCTCGGTATGAAGATGTTGACAGTAGGAACTGGTTCCAGCTGGCCGCTCCACACTACTGCCTCGAGGACAGGTTTGTGGTGTGTTTGTGCGTAAAAGCTGAAGCAGTGATCCTCACACCACCTTTGGCTGAAGTCCTCCAATTAACACAGATGTTGTGTCTGGCTGCATGTGAATCTTTACCTGTGTGTGCATTCAAAATTACTGTCTTTCATACATGTGTATCATAGACCAGCGCGTGGAATCAGTGACAAACAAAGCGACACACAATGTGATAGAGACTGAAATGCTGTGCGAGCTGTTTTCTCTCTCTCAGGTTATGTGTGTTGGACAGATTTAGCACGACCCCACGACGCTTTTCAGCAACACAAAGCTTGTTGAACGCCGGCGCTGCTGGGATTTTCCTCGCAGACACATGACAGCGTGTGCTTTAAATGTTAATGTCTTTGGGCGCACACCAGTGTCTGTGTTACAAAGACTCGCTGGGTGTGTTTGAAAGGCATGTGCGAAGTTTGGGAGGTGTGCGAGATGAGCGAGTGTGTTCGCATCTCATCAAGTAATGAGGTGCATATGTGAGCAGTGTGACTTAGAATTAACAAGTCACATGGGTGTCAAATTGAAAATGTGTTGGCATGCAGAAAATGAACCGAAAAAAAAAAAAAAAAACATCCCGCGTGCATGCATGAAGTGTCTTTTTTTTTTGCTGGTGTGAGGAGGGTAATGTGCAGAGCTGGTGTTTTTACTTTAATTTCTCTGTTTCTGCATCCATTTTTTTTTTTCCAAATAACCTTTATTGCCATTAAACCCTTCAGCAACTAAGAACACACATCTTGACAATAGATGGCTCTCTCCCAATAACCAACTTTAATTCATGGCTGATTCATATCTGACGCACACTCGTGGCTCAGACCTCCACAAACACACACTCTACCGACACATGCACTCTTCCAAAGCCACATTAGCTTCAAGCTCACTGTTAAATGACAATTAGAAGAACCAAATCCCCGTCATTACGGGACCCCCTGACGAGAATGGAGCTTCAACCACTTAAGGGCTCTTTGGGGGGGCTTAGGACGGGCTAACTGGGAGTTTGTACAACATGACTGGTGGATTAGCAGTCACGGAAGATTCAACCGCGAACCCGTCGGGACCGGAGTAGAACCTGGCTGACGTGGAGCGTGAAGAGTACAGTGAACTCCTCAGTTGGAGCGTCGTAAGTTAGGCCAGGCTCAAATCATGGCGAAAGATTCTCCTACTGTCTGATTTGCCAGAAGGATTCGATCCCATCCATTCATCACCAAATGTGGTCGGCATAAATACAAAGAGAAAGTATTATCCAGAGCAATCTGCCCCTCTATTATACATCAGAGCCCACAATAAATCCTTTAAGCATAATTTGAGAGCGCTATCAAGCATGGAGCTAGTGTTGTAAATGTCATCTTTTCTTTATCATCATCAAAAACAGATGGTATACTTAATCATATCTACGTTTTATGTAGATTATGTAATGTCCCATCAGTAAAAGCAGCAGATGTTATTTCTTGGTTTCAATTTGGTGTCGAGGAACGTTCACAAACTCGTCAGTTGGCTTAAGTTAAAGCTTAATTGAGTGGAAACTTGGATAAACAGACAAACTTACAATCAAAAGGGTTTGTAGGCCTTTCAACACCAACACCTTTTTTTTTTCCCCCTTTAGAAACCACACTTTACACATTTGCTATCTTTTATTGATCTTTCATCTTTCCACTTTCCCTTTGTGCATTCTAAAAGCCGAAAACACAACCAATTTTCAAAGCAACCACCAGCGATCTCTCTTCCAAATGCCTGCTGATGCATCTGTCGGAATCCATGTCTGAAAGTGTCCGAACTGTTTGTTTTTTTTTCCCCTGCTCGGACAGATTAGTGGACTCAGATTACACGGCAGACCAGACATCATATACAAATGCGAGCACAGATCTCCAGACAGACAGATCAGCCAGACGTTATGTGAGAGGAGGGGGGGTCCGGTCTGTGGATTGTATGTGTGTGTCTGTGGTAGGGGGGTTCGAATAAAATGCACAGATGTTGACTTTTTAAGTCAAATCCACATTGCGTTCAATAATCTCCGCATCAAATACCCCCTACTGGCCCCACCCAAACCAATCACTGGCACACGCAGACGGGGGGCCCCGGTCCGTATGAGCATGTGGATTAACACCCCCCCCCACCTTTGCCACTCTCTGTTTTTCTGCTTGAAATCCACTGTGACCTTAACCCAAATATGAGGGACAGAGTTCGAATCCCCCGGAGACAGGCTTACTGTATGTGGCAGCATAACAACCTGCACTGTACATACATTCATGCACGTGTGGATGAGCTCACCACCTCGACCTCACGCACAAACACAATGAAGCTCAACATAAACACTTAAACTCCTACATTTCAGAAAACAATGATGCTATGAATCTCTTAAATTTGCTCAATCGTGACTCAGAGCATTTAGCAAAGCCCAAATGTGTGTTTATACGTGTGTGCGTTAGTCTGAAAGAGAGATGATAAATAGCGAGCCCAGATAAGGGCACATAGAGGACTCCATTGTTCTTGTTTGTCAGGTTCCCCTCCTCTCTCTATCTCTATCTCTTCCTCCCTCCCGTTCCCTCTTTCTCTAACTCATGACTGGGGTCATGACTCGGCTTCATAAACAGTCATAGAAGGGGAAAGACTCCTTCAGGAATGTTGCATCCACTGATACGGCTCTTGGATGAACACAACAGCCTCCGTTGTTGGGGAACATTTCAGGATAGTAGGGTAAATGTTTGGGGGGAAAAAAAGGAGCCCTTGTGATGTTCAGATCGTGGTTGGAGGAAATAAATTTTAAAGCTTTGAGGCTCAGTGTCATTTCAGGACAAGCTTGTGGGTTGTAGACTTTTCCCTTACTATTACATACACACACACTTTCTTACATCACATGCACATTGTTTTTCACTCACATGCATAAGCCCCCATGCATCTTACTTGTTTAACTTTGTTCTATGTTTATGTGTCTATAATTTACATGTGTATTTGTTCCTGCTGGCGCCTCTTGGCCAGGTCATGTTTGCAAATCAGAACTGGTTCTCAAACATTTTTACTTGTTAAAATAAAGGTCAAATAAATAAAAAATAAATTAATAAAATACAGAATGACCATAGTATTGAAAAGCAGATAAAAGCCTACCTTGTGGTTCTTGCCATGCCGGTACACCATCCAGTCCTCTCCATTGGTGCTGACCTCCAGTTTGAAGGTGGTGACGTAGTAAGACTTCTGAGTCTCTTTGGATACGGCTCCCTGTGTGGCAATACCTGTCAAAACCTTGAGGAAATGGAGGTCAACCTGCAAAAAAAAATAGAAAAAAAGAAAGAAAAAGGGAATTAAACGGATTCAAAAAAATAAAAGAAAAAGAAAAAGAACAAATGTGTAGATTGCAGGATTAACGGCGTTCAGGGCTGATGTAGATACCAGAGACAGACCAGCTGCTGTGTCTATCTGTCACGCAGACAGCAGGAGATGGACGCAGACTGCAGCCTGCTGCTGAGGAGGCCTAGGTGGCATTTGTGTGTGTGTGTGTGTGTGTGTGTGTGTGTGTGTGTGCGCGCGCATCGTCATGTGTGTGAGGGGAGGAAGGCTGGAGGCAAAGATCAATGGCACAGTGTTCGGATGCATTCCAGGAGAGCACCTTCATCAATCACGGCCTTCTCGCCGCTCTCCTCTGCGCTCGCTGGATGCATGCATACACGTGTGTGTGTGTGTGTGTGTTTGAGACAGGAAAGATTGAGAATGCAGAAGCATTTCCTTATCATCAGTTCACAGTTCCTCCATTTCCTTTATGTGTGTGCGCGCCGCTGTACGTCCTCACTGTATACGAGATGCTTTTGCTCCGCGCGTCTTTTCCTCTATATTGGTATCACTGAGACAAATTTATTGTCCTCTGCAAGTGAGAGTAATGCTGATTCAGATATCTCTGTATGTGGTCTTTATGGGAACTTCACCGCTTGAATTACAACGACTCTTTTTCGTGGTTACACTTGGATTACTGTAATTATTCAGGGATCAGGGGTAGTTTGTAATTAGAAGAACTGTCATGAAGTTGCTGTTAACATACTCATGCTGCAGGTGTTAATAAACTCAAAGGAAAAATGCCTACAAACAACTGGAAGCAACAAACTAAATTTAAGCTCCTGTTAATATCTTGTGGGGAAAAAAACTGGGAGCTGTTTTTAGCACAGTAAAGTTATATTAATATGTTTGAAGCCTATTAGATGAGTAATTGTTGAAAAGTGAAGTAGAAAGATGTGCTGTGGTGCTTGTTTCTCTAAATTATTACACACTGGTCTCATTTTTAACTCATTCACTGCTCCAAAAACACACCTCTTAAACAGCCAGGTAGAAACAGGTGATCAAAAACAAATCGAGCCAGGAAGATGTTGTGCGATACGGTGTAATCTTGCAGATGAATACCTGTATATACTCCTTGTTGCTGTCCTCCGAGGGCGTCCAGGCGTTGTCGTCGTTGTTGAGGCGGGCCTGACGCGGTAACCAGCGGTTGTCATAGAAGGTTGTTGACGCCGTGATTTGATCGTCGCTGATTTTCCCCGACTCCATACCGAGTGCCATGCTACAGTGGAAGGCTGATGGGAGAAAGAGGAGGGAGACGGAGATGGCAGCTATAAATTTGTTCCTGTGTCTTTGCAGTGAAGATGGAAAATGAATATACTGGATGACAGTTGCAGGAAAGAAGACGATCTAAGCAGAATTTAAAGGCAGTCGAAAGGTAAACTCAGACAAAGACAGAGAAAGGACACAGAGGGACAGAAAGCAGCCCAACAGGTGAGCACAGGCAAACTGAGGTGAACTTAATTTATATTCTAAAAGAAAATAGTATGAGTCAACTTCTGAGAAACCATGCTCTCTTAGGAGAGAGCAAAACAGGCTGAGAGGGGTGAGAGAGAGAGCTGCGAGATTGAAATAGCATTAAAGTAGGAGAAGCTGAAAAGATCGCGAAGGGGAAGAGGAGAGAAAGATGAAGAAAGAAAGACGAGTGTCAGCAAAGATGACAGAGACGGAACTGTTGAAAGAGAGAAAATAGAGATGGGAATAAAAATGGGTAAACAAACCTACACAGAGAGCATTCAAACGTGCGAAAACAAACAAACACACGCGCGCTCTTCTAAAAAAGTTATCTCGCACTCACAGTCTGTGACTTCTTTGTGCGTCATGTTGTAGCGGGCGGAGAAGCCGTCTTTGGCCACGGCCATGTCGGTGTGGAAGGAGAGGGACAGCAGGCCGGAGGACGACTGGATCTCTGGAGGGATCTTTGTTCCGCAGTAACGTCCAATCAGAGGAGCCACTGCAGACAAATCAAGCTGATGTTAACATGCATGTTGTTTTGGGCATTTTTAGTCGTTGGCAGCGAGATTTACAATAAAAACCTGCTTAGAAGTAACCGAAATATGCTGCTGTATCTGCTTTTGCAATATGATACGACTTGCTCTGAGGAAAAATGACTAAATGCATGTTTGGCAAGTCTGTTGTTTCCATTTGAAATTAAAAAAAGGAAAAGGAAAAAAAACGAAATCCAGCATTGCAAAGACAGGTTTCCAGTGGCCATGCTGCTTCAGTAAGTGTTGTCTAATGAGTCACAGCATGCTCCCCCCCCCACATGTCTCTTCCTCCCATCATTCCTCTCTCCCTTAACTCTCCTGTCCATCCCTCCATCTGCCATGTGTGTCTCAGCCAGGGCCCAGCAGGGGGATTGGAATCCCTGCCTTAATGCAAGCTGCAGTGGGATCAGCCGTAGACACACATGCGCACACACATACACAAACACTGAGGATTACAATAGTCTCAAGACAGTTCCTTCGCCAGACACCAAATTCTTCACCCTTCCGTCTTGCCTCCCATCCCTCTTTCATGCCTGAGGACTCAGCTCGCTGGAACTGGGTTACACTTTAATTTGCTCCTAATTCTCAACTTTGAATGGTATAAATTGTTTTCAGCTATCAAAGCTCCCAAATTCAAGGCTATAATTGGAATTTTAAATCCACTTGGATCCCTTTTTAGCAACTGAAAATGGAATAATTAGAGCAAATCCTTAGTTCCCTGCTTCATATTTTGAAAAAAAAAAAAAATAGGGGGAAAAGTGAGAAGAAAAAGGCACTCAGCAAGCGAGAGGTGAGAAACGAACCACTCATCACCGCTAATGCGGGTTTCAACAGCATCACAGCGGCTAACATTACCCTATGGCGGTCACTATCAAAGCCCGTGATAACATCCTCAAATGTTTTTTCCTGATCTCAGCTTTGGCAAAGCTCGGCTCCTCCTATTGGACGCAAACAGATACTCATCGTGGCCATCACTCTCACTCGCCTGGGGAGGAAGGAAGTGCTAGGTGATAAGGAGGGAGGACAGGGAGGATAGGAAGGGGGTGATGAAGGGTGTTATTATGGAGAGGAGAGAGGGCCATGGGAAAGGACTGCTCCTTAGGGGTGTCGAGGCACTTTCAGCTCCCTGTGTGAAATAATGTTTCCTCTATGCAACGTAATGGAATGTAAGGCAAGGCCGCTTACATCAAAGAGAGTGATGGCTGCTCAGGAAATTGAAGACTGCTATGCAAATTTCTGTGTAGGAAAGTGAGGGATCGCCATGGGTCAGTATGAGCTCTGCATGTGGATATGAATGTAATGTTTGTGTATGTTATCCCCAGAAGGCAGAAACATTGATTTTCAGTCCATGTGTGTATCCATACACCTTCAATAAGTGAAGATAGGAATTCTGTCCACTGTGTGTCTACGCTTGTGTTGGGTTGGGTCGTTCCTGCATTAGCATGTACGGCCATTTCTCAGACACGGGACACGTAACACTGCTGCTTCATCAGTCTGTCACAGTGACGGGTCGCTTTAATGCTCCTCACGGCTTCATTCAGAAACACCCACCACGGTATGCACGCGATGTTTGTCATTCACAGGAGATTGTACGATACACCAAGCGATGATGTCTAATACATATTAATGCCCTGCTAGATAGAAGACTAAATCTTAGTCGATAGCAAGCTTATCCAACTGTCCAAATAATGATCTAGTTTATTTGATGATTTCCCTAATCATGGAAAACTCTGTCCATGTGTGATGATGATCTATGAACGGTTAAAATAAAACATCCTGACAAGCCGTGATGGACAAATTATTTATCTGCAGCTTGTTAACTGTTCACCTGTCTGAGGAGAAGAAAGTTAAACAGTTCGACCCTGCCAGACTGATCCTGTCTCCATGTCAGGGATAGTTCATAATTACTTAATGAAGTTACTGGTGCTGTTGTTTCTTGTGCCCAAATGCTTGCAAGTTTCTTATTCTGGTGACACTCGTATGATCTGGTTGCTGTTTGATGCAGCAGAGGAAAAACTCCTACAAACAACTGGAAGCAACAAGCTAAGCTTCTGTTAATGTCTAGTGGGAGAAAAAAAAAAAACTTCATATAATATTCTTTGGTGAAAATCAGCTTTCTGTTTTCATCACAGTGAAGTTTTGTTGTTATGGACACTTTTGTTTGTCATCTAACGTGTTATTGTGAATGAGAAAGGTATGTTTTTGATTGTCTTTTGCTCTCTGCGATGTTTGTGGACCAATATTGGTGCTGAAATGTGAAAAAAGATAAACTCAAATCCCTTGTGCAAGCTTATCTATTAATTTGAGTGGGTGCAGTTGTCTTAAAAGTAATGCAGAAACTTTACCTAGTAAGAGTGTCATCAAATGTTTATGGTAAAGTGAGCAGGCCTCATCCAGCCATGTTCAGTCATTTGCAGATTAACAAAAAAGGAGTGCACGTATGAAAGGAGCTTCTGTCATTTATGCATGCTCACCTTGTGGAAGGCCGTCCCACACGTCCAGCCAGTCGTACTTGCAGTCGCCCTCTCCCACCAACAGGGGGTCGTTCTCAAGGTCAAAGGTCAGGAACGTGAGGGTGATGTCCATGTGGGGCGGGGCGATGATCATGTAGGAGCACTCCAGATTGTGGGGGTATTTATCTGGAAATCCCGGGGACTCGATCATGCCGGAGGAGCTGGTGAAGTTGCGGAAGCAGAACTCTGACCCTAAGAAAAAGGATATTTAGAGCGGAATGTAAAAATTGGGAACATTAAGTGAAGATACAGGCGTAAGCAATCGATCACGCGCTGATATCTCCTCTGACTTGCAGAGGGTGTTTCAGAAAGTCGTTCATCACTGACAGCTTGCTGGAATATACAGTAGCTTTGGTGGCGCGACGCACAAACACACACGGTCTATGATTACAGATGGCGGAGAAAATACACAGTGAGCAACTGCTCAAGTGGGCGTTTCTAATGTTGCATCATGTGATATGAGCTGGCTTATAGCTCTTTTTCCTCAGTGATGTTCCTGCCAGTGCACAGTTCCAACCCACAAGAAGTACTGCCATCAAAAGAACCACTCAAGATTTCAACAAAAATCAACTACACGGCCAGAAAAGCAGTATTGTTATGTTTTATGGCTCAGCTGTGGCCTTAAAGGACTCTCATGTGGTCGAGGTTACATAATAAAACATTTTCTGTGATGCACACTAAATGCAAGGCTAAAGAGGGGAGCTCTGTTGCATACATTTAAACAAATGTTCTCCAGCACTCTCCCCCTTCTATTTGCACTCTGTGTGTGTGCGCATATCTCTCTCTCTAACACACACACCCCACAAAACTTGTGTAATGGTTCTAAGTGGGCCCTGTGCGGCGGCTCCTCATTAGCCATGCAGATTTATGCGCCCTGGGCGGCTCACCTTGAGCGGCAGCAGCTGTGTGGCTCAGATCATCTACCCATCAGCCACTGCTCCGTGGCCCACTGGGGAGCCTGAGTCACGGCCGAGTGTTTATGGACCGGCACATCAATGAGGGTGGGAGAGAGCTGACAGTGCAGCACATGCACACACAAAACAGACACACAGCCTCATTCACAAACTGCGGTTCTTTCCTCAGTCTGTCTGCTCCCCTCCAACATTTCTATCTTTATAATGTGGACTATAAACAGCTCAGCTCTGGTCAGTTGTACGTCTTCATGTGGCTCTATTTTTACAATTGCCAGAAGGACAAATATGTTCATGTGCGAATGTTGCTGAGAGATTTTCATTAGATCTTTGTTCAGCTGCACGTCACAAATGTCTGCACTTTCTAACTCAACAGATGGCACTTAAATAGCAGCTCTTCTTGCAGGTATTTATAAGTGCACTTAGACCGGACATTGTTTTTCCAACTTGTCCCCTGCTAAAATTACATGTGACATGCAAACTGATAGAAGATATATTTCATTACCTTCTCCTTCGCCAAGCGTGGCAATCGTATAACTAGCATAAGGAAACAAGTCTGTTCTTGTGGTACTTTCCCATCATTGACTGTGCTGGAAAGCAGATAGGGAGGTTGAAGAGGCTCATGGGAGAAGCATCTGGTGGATTTCAAACCTGGGAAAGCAGGACTGCATCCAGCAGCAGCGGCACTGCGCTGTCTCAGAGAGCTGCCAGGCTGCATTTGATAACCACATTCATATTCATAAAGTCAGCGTTTAGGAGAGCAGACACGTTAACAGAGCGTTCCTTCGGCAGCATTCCTCTGAGGCACCAGTCCTTATTATCAGGCAGCCCTATAAAAGCGGCGGGGTCGACTGGCTGCTCCGGCCCTCCCCTGTCTACACTTGGTTAATGGCAGAGAACTGACCCCAATCAGCACGGAGACAGAGGGAAAAAAACTCAGGAGACGTACACTGTGTGTCTCTCTCACTTTGTTTTTCCTCTCCTCTGGCTGCTTCTTTATCTCAGTTTTTCACCTCGTATTTTTTTGCTCCATTTGTTTTATATATATATATATATATATGTGTGTGCATTTGCAGTGTCTATGCACGTATCTGTCTATTGATCTTTTTGGCATGTATGTGTTGAAGACGTTGACACAAATGCATGAATCTTCCCCCACATGTTAAAAGCAGCATTCAACCTCTTATGTCGCCTCCCACACACACACGGCAACATCAAAACCCCCGTGGATCATCTGCCTTCATGTTAGGAGCCTGGCTTCCTACACAAACACACACACACACACACACAGCCAGGCATGTTGAAATATGACAGTAATTTAGAGCAAACTACCGGCGATATCTCCCTCTCCTCTCCGCTACTGACCTCACCTCTGTTTGTGCGTCACGGCATGAAATCTGCATGCGATTGTAATGCGCTTACAATAAAACAGTAAATGAATTATACAGTATGCATGAGCCATATGTCCTGTCAATTTGTGTCTTTGCGTGACTACATCTTTTTAGTGTATTCCTTTTATTGAGCTGCTAACATGCGTTTCTTGCTGCTGGCATGTTTATCTGTCCTGTATGTGTGTGTGTGAAGGTGTGTGTGAGACCCGCTAACACACTGGCCTTGTTTCTTTACTGGGTCACAGTGCAGCAGTCTGGAGTCCCGCTGCCGAAAAACTTCAATCTGAGCACAGCTTGACTCCATCGCCTCCGAACACACTGCTCCGTGTCAGACTGTGTGTTTTACACTTGGTGCGCACCAGCTCGTGCCAATGCCGTGTGCATGCATGTGTTTGCGTGAGCACCTTCGCTTTTCGTTAGCGCTCATTAGTTCACAGTGTATGAGCATGCCAAAAACAAGACCCCCCCCTCCTCTTTTACTACCTCGTTCCGTCACTGCAGCGTGCACACACTCACACATGCTTGCCGTACGCAGGCTCCCGGTTGGTGCTTGCATCGCACCATGAGCTGCCATTTGGCAAGAGCTGTCTGCTGGCAAAGAGTGGGAGGTCATGGTGTGAGTGTGTGAGTGTCAGTGTGACGCAGAGGAGTGTGGTGGTGAAGGGGGTGGGGGGGGGGAAGAGGAGTGAGTTGCTGGGTAGAAACCACTCGAATCTTGCACATGAGTGCCTGATGTAGTAGTAGCTCCACATGTTGTGTCAGGGCAACCCCCGTCCCCTCCTCCTGCTCCTCCTCCTCTCATCCCCTCCCTTCGTTCCTTCTCCTCTCGGCAGCGACATGCAGAGTCTGTGTTCATTCACTCTTTTAACTCTCTGTCTTGTCTGGCGTCGTCTCGCTCCTCCAAGTCCTCGGCACGCAACCCTTGCTGAGGGCTCAACTTCGGCGTCTCGCGAGTGTCTGCGGCGCATCAAAACCCCGCCTCGCCCTCCGCTCTCTACCTGCCTGTCTGACACACATCTGCTTCTCGCACACCGACACACACGGATCTCTCATGTAACCCCGCTTGAGCTCAGTTCAAGATTTCATTGAAGAAAATCTCTCCCGAGGCATCTGAGGAGGGGTGTGTGTGTATGTGTGCGTAACTGTGTAACGGAAGGGGCGTGCTACACAGGGGGTTTAGGGTGGAAAACCCACAACAACAACAACAACAACACTCGGAACAACGAAAAGACCCATGAAAAGAAAAACAACATTCTTGGCGTGCCACGGTTTGACGCTTTTATGGACCCGGAGAGACACTGTGCATCAGTCTGAAGCAGCTTTATATAGAGAGGAATGCTTCTTCGAAGTCACGTTTCACGCTGATGCCTCTATTATGTGCTCTGAAATGGAATGCCATTTCATCTGCAGCGCAAAAAAAATGCAGATGCCAAAAAGCCTCCTGCTGTTTGTGATCCAAGTGTTTGTGCAGTTCATGCAGTTGATGATCATGACTTATTATTTCATTCTGGGACACGTTTTCTTCATCACTGATCAGTCTTAACTACTCTTTGCGCTCAGTTTAGTTATTCATGAACGTAATTCACCTTTGCCAGTTAATTACTTGAGTGTAATTTCAGCAACGGGATGACTCGGGTGTTTCAGGAATAAACACCGTGTCGCAGCCTGCCGTATAGTAACAGCCGCCACTCACGCCAGGGTCAGCATCCAATCGACATGATGGCATCTGAAATACACAAGGGGGCCAGTGTTTTGACTGGCACTTGGGCGGGGGTCCGGCCTTGGGCTTAGCTCCTGCTGCGTGCCCACAGATGCCGCGGCAGCGGTCAACAGCGGTCACGGAGGAGACCCAACGCCCTAAGGTGCCCTCTGCCCTCTCTTGACTCGGGATTGGCTGCGACGTTATCTGCCCCCGCTGTGCTAGTGGTGGGCTTTGGGGGGTAAGAGGGGAAAAAGGCGGGTGGGGGGCTTCATTGGCAAGTCTTCCCCCTGTAGCCGTGGTAACAGCGTCAGCAGCACGTGACTGCGTTTAAGTGAAAGTGTATGAGGGGCGGATGGAGGGGAAGGGGGGTGCTAGCCAGGGCTGACTAAAGGGTTAAGCACGCATGAGTAGGACCAAAGTAGGCCACAACAATAAGGGGGAGGAGGGGAGGCGTGCACTTTCACTGTACAGCAGGATTAAGGCGTACGTCTACTGTATGGGTGTGTGTGTGTGTGTGTAAGGGGGGGCTGGGGGGTACATGGAAGGATGTTGTTTTGGGGCAAACGCTCACCCCGACTCCCCCTCAGGAGGGTGGAGCGCCGTGCAGGATAGACGTAGAGTCAAAGGTCGCCTCCTGATCCTCCTTGCTGGAAATAATTAGCTTTCGCTGCACTGTACCCCCATTAGACACACACAAACACACACACGCAGACGCACAAACAGATTGTTTGTCCAATTCAAAACTCCCCGGAGAGGTTACAGTCACCGCTTATGTAATAAGGTTGAATGAGCAAAACAAAAACAAGCCGCTGTATCATTAGCTCAGAGTATAGAAAGCAGGCCAAGATATGCCCCTTTCTCGCTCACACAGCCAGCAGCAGACACACACTGTCTGATTTCTAGGCACGGCGTGGTGGGGGTTTGCCTGCGCCGTGAGCTGTACTGTCCGTTTAAGATGGGAAGGAAGCTGGACAGACGCACACTTCTCCCAGCTGTGCGCTCAGATTCTATCTCTGTCAGGACGCACCCTTTAAAAACACATACAGACCCATAATCACAACCCCAACACACACACATGTTGACTTTCAAGTACATCAAAACATACTTGAGTAAAAGTAATATTTCTGTCTTCCAAACAGAAATACACACACACAAAAAAATGCAACTGAAATCCATTAACGAAGTAATGGTTATGCAATTACTTCCACTCTGGTAAATAAACACATCTCAGCCAGGATCTCCGTGTACCCGTCAGAAGTTGTAAGCTGTTTAGTGGAAACCCGCGGCCCAGGCCTGCCACGGTAAGACAAACAGCTATGATGAGAGAGCGTGCAGGCGCTGGAAACGCCGTAATTAACACATGGCCTCAATCACGCATCCTGAATACATTTTCACTCTCTGACTCACTTCTTCTTTGTCAGTCACCCCAATCATTTCCCCAGCGTTCCCGTCTCCGTTTGTCTGTCTCTCTCTCTACCTTCGTCTCTCGCACACGTGCATCTATCATGCCGCCTCCGCGTACATACATACAGACAGACAGACAGAATCTCACACAACAAGCTGAGTGGAACCACCCACACATGCAGGCAGCAGACACCTACATGTGCTCACACGGTGACACAATCTCTTATACCCCCTGAATTTATACCAGGATCTTGTTAAAGCCATGGCAACCGCATCCCTCATCCACCAGCCTTCAATCCATCTGTGTGTGTGTGTGTGTGTCTGTGAGACAGATGCAATCTACACTATTACATTGTCGGGGTTCAAGCTGGTGGCCTTGGTAACAGAGCTGAACGTCAAATCTGGGTCACATTCGTTTAACACAAAACCACAGATATTTTTCAAAGGTGGGAGGTGATAACTTAATGCATTCTTTCTGGAAGAAGACAGGCTTTTTGTGTTTCTTTAAATTTCTCTCTTTTTTATTTTTTTTTTTAAATCAAGACACAATTCAAGACTTAAAAATGTGAATATAAAAGGATAAAGAGCTTCCAAACATGCTCAGACTGTTGCAGAGACAATGAACCCACGTGAACATAAATCTTGCTGCCCCAAGGCCACCTGACCATTTCACCTCTGCTTCCACTGCACACACAACCAGCAAAACAAATATACTTCAACCTCGCCTGCAAAGTGCACTTCACCTCGTGCACTTTGACGACTTCGAGAAAAAAAACATTCCATTTCGGCACACACTCATCCCCATCAATCTCCCCCCCGCCCCCCACCACAGCCTCTACCCGTAAACCTTTAACCTTCGGGTCCGACTCCAAGTTGCCTCGCAGCTCTCTCCATCATCCCACCGCAGCCTCCCACACCCAGCCCTCCTCGCGTCCCCAGAGGAAGCGGATCCTGCTCCAATTAAGCGAGCATTCCTCACATGCTTTCAGGCGGCTTTAAAGTCGTTTTCTTCGTCTCTCTCTATAAGTTTTGTTTACATGCCCGGCTGCCCCTCGCTGATGTGAATTGCTGTGAGAGCGTCGGGGAGGGTGAGAACACGTTTCGGGCCACTGACAAGAGGGCAAAGAAGTGACACATTGACTAAATTGTAAACTTCAGCATCAAAGTGCGGCAGACCATTATCTGAAAGCCCTGTTTCCTAAAGAGGTCTTTAAATACTGTTCAACACTGAGCTACATTAAGGTAAATTAACTGCAGTTAGCAGCAGGCCCTGGAAAACAGTGGGAACCGACAAATGGCTGAGCAGTTGTTGTGAAATTTCATCCATGTTTCAGCAACACAGATCAAAAAATATGTAAATCAGCAGGAAAAACATTTCTGTCTCGGCTCAAATTTATTTTATTACTTCAAAAAAATATTTTAAAACTGAATTCTGTTTCATTTTACTTCTACCACTATTAGTAATAGCACTGCTTTTATGAGAGAAATGTGCTAACCCATGTATCTTGTACTTAAGTGGTGTTTTATCTTCACTTTGGGACACTTTTGTCTTATTTGTTGTATTGGCTACTGTATGTGTACAGACTTGTTTAACTGTCGTCCATTTTGCTACATGTTTTTCATGGATCTGCTGTAATGTGTTTCCTTTATGTTCTTATTTATTAGAAAATACGACTTGAATTGCCAACAAAACACATATTATGTAACTGGTTGCTGATCAAATTGCAAAACCAATCATCATCCTTCAAACTTTGACAAACCAACCACTTCTTCTCTAAGTGATGCTTTCTTACCTGTTTTGAAAATCTCATAGCGCAGAGAGAAGCCCGCCCCCTGATGGGCGTAGTCCGACACAAATCTGATCTGCAGGGACGGTCCGGACGAGATGATGGGCGCCGGGGCGATGTTGCTGCAGTGTCGACCCAAAACGTCTGCCGTGTCTGAAATCCCATCCCGGATTTCTATGTAGTCGTATCTGATGCACACAAAGAGAGAGAGAAACGATAGAGATTATTTGTTGTTGCCGGGAAATGTTTTCTAAAAAAGCAGCAATCTTTGCATTCACACGACTACACTGAGCTTAATGCAGCAGGAAGGGATTAGGAAAGGTGAAGAGATAAAAGTGGCGCGCGGCAAAGGGGAGATAAACATAGATGGATAGTTATGGGGTTATGCAACCAGCTAAGCTAATAAAAACCAGACAGGTGTGGACCTATTTACCATCAGAGTTCAGCCTGGGGACAGAATGCACAGTGTCCAAGAAAAGCGTTCAGTAATACAACACAACATTAAAACAAATAAATATATCTGCCACGGGCTTGATGCCAAAGCATCTGCACTTTGCATGTGTTGTTCCCGTCAGCTGCATTTAATAACATTAGTTTGCATGACCCAGTTTGGTTCAGGACAACAAACTCAGATCCCTTTGACTTGAGCATGAGGTTTAAAAAGCCCCAAATCACTGAATCTGGGATCGCAGGACCGAAAAACTGAATTTCAATGCGAGGGTGAAGATGCAGCCAAATAGGCAGCTGGATGGATTCGTTAATAGGAAGAATAAAAATAGACAGCGAAGCTCATGAAAAAATAAAGAAGTAAGGGCCCGGGGATAAAAGGTGAAGACACGAGCAGCAGCGGGGGGTGAGGTGGAGGTTAAAATCGGGATAAATAAATGTGAAGACATCTTGCTTATTAGCTTCCACATGCTTGAGCTCTCAGCTCATTATGACCTTTGACGAGCCAACTGACCCTGAGCGATAAAAGCAAATTCTTAACTGTCAGACCGCTGAGAGTGTGTGTGTGTGTGTGTGTGTGTTTATGGGTGTGTGTGAGAAAGCCAGACAAAGGGAGCCCACCTGGCTGATCCAGAATTAGCTCATAGCCCTCTGAGTGTCATTCCTCTGACATTATTAGACTTAAGCAGCATCAGAGAGTCACAGATGGAGGAACACATTCTGCCTTTCCCAACACTAGACGGGTGAGTTCACACCATGAGGACAAAGGACAAAACTTTTCAGAACGTGTGCCTTTTTTTGGATACGTCTGTTGATGCCTTCATGTTTCTAACACACTGTAGATTTTAATAAATTATTAAAATATATTGGAAGTATAAAAGGGATCTGCAAATATCTTAAAAAAAAACATTTGTGAATATCTTCTTAACATTCCAAACTTTCAGAAAGACAGGTGTGCGTTCATTTTATGCTATTTGTGAATCTAAAAAGGAGAAGAATTGGAGATGTGTGGATTTCATTTACACGCACAGACTTTTGAGACAAACTTTCTTCCAGTCTCAACGACAATCCATTTGCTTCACTCTGCCTTTTCTCGAAAAGCAAGTGTTGAGTTGTTGTTTTTGTTTTAAACAATGAAGACTTGTAAGATTTATTAGATTAAGTTTGGCAGTGACTCTATGAATGTTCAAGTCATAGTTTTTACAAAGTTTGAAAACATCCTTTTACTCATCGGTCGTCTTTGTTTTTGACATAGTCAGTCTGAGTAACGTCAACTGTAAAAATAAATGTCTCGGTCCTCCCAGTTTTGGTAAATTGTCACTACAATGCCACAATGCTTTTGTCTTTTGAGTTTCCAGTCGAAAGGCAACAAGGGAAGTGATGCAAGTCTTGACTGTGACATCAACAAATGGTAGTTGCTGCACGTAACTCCAGTTCTATGAGCCTGGAGGAAAAAGAACAATGGATGGTTTGTTACAATTAGTCTCCTTGGTGGATTTTAAGTTGTTGATCACAGTTTTAGAGAAAAGAAGACTTTTTCAGGGCTGCTCAGACGCCAGGGTAGGTACATTTTTTTTTACCCCGAAAACATCCCAGGAATAGGTTCTACAGGGGCAGTACTTAGGTCAGAACATGCACAAAGGTTAAGGGGCCTTAAAACGGCCCACAAGTGCCTGCAGTGGAAAACACTGTTGAAAGGTAAAATATGGGTCTACTATGAGCATACAGGGGAAAAGAGAAGGATTAGATGGGAACAAATACCTTCGTGAAGCACAGGGTGAGTCATGACAAACACAGTTTAATTAGTTAAACCATCCTCTCATGACTTTTTATTATGTTGAAGTGTATTTTAACACTCTGTTACATCTAACTTGTCCTTTATATGAGCTAAAGCCACTCAGTGCCTCAGTTGCGTTCCTGAAGAAGTTCCAGCTCGTTCATCGACTGGACTGAAAAATAGGAAATGTACCGCCAAAACCGCCATTTACTGTAAAACACAGTCCTTCTCTGCATTCCTTCCAATAAATGACAGCATAGCTTTGTTGATACGATTAACTTGGGAGCAGTCTGTGCTTGGAGCCGGCGGTGAATCACCAGGTTTTAAGGAAATAATTTGTGGTTGTGACAATATTTTGAGGTGTGGAAATCTCTATAATGCTTGTTTGTGGCTAACCTGGTGCTGAAGTACTGTTTAAAGCAAGTTTCAATGAATTTTACTCGACACAGGCAGCCACACTGAGCGCAATCTTCCCTCTTTTTCTCTTAAGAATATGTTTGTTTTGGTACCTTGTGTGTGTGTGTATCTGCAATTTTCCACTAAATGCGCATGCTGATGTATTTCAAGTTGCGCAACTGTGAATAATTTCTGTGTAATTTTGGTCTCCATAATATTCACCCTTTTCCGTCTACAGTTCTAACAAGTGTCTCTTCACCCTACATGCTGTGTTTCCACAAACTGCATCGCTGCAGGCGCCCTGCGGCTACACTGAGGACGCCCTCCGAACATACAGACATGCAAACACAATTAGTTCGTGTGACGAAGCTGTTGGAAACACAATAGGACCACTGTTGTCTCATTAATTACTCTGATGGGCTGCTTGATGCTCAGAAAGCCCCGTACACATCTCTGGGTTTTAAACTCAGCATCTTGCTAATGATCTGAACAGAAAACCACTTTTTCCTTCACCGAAATGAAAAGTATTTAGAAAAGCTGAGACATACCAATCAGCTCCAGGCTGTATTTCTTTGTGGCATCTAAGCACTAAGAATGCTTTTGTACTGGCAGCTTGGAATAAAACCTGGATTAAGTAGAGTCACTAAGCCTCTTTCTCTTTTTTATCTCATTCCTGCAGTGTATTGATTCCAATACAGAGCATTCAAGCTAAGACTGCTGATGGAGGGATAATCCCAGCCACATTAATCTGGGTCAGAGGGCCTGTTCACACCTGGCATTAACATGCATCCTGGGTGATCCGATCACAAGTGGACAGCTCTAAGTACAGGTGTGAATGCACGCATTGAGCATACGTTAAGATGTGACTGCTCAGACCTCATTTGGAGATGGCATGGGATGGACAGGCGACATTCTTTGGATCACACTGAAGGAATGCACGATCAATTGATGCACTCTTTGTAAGTGAAAGTGAAGTGCATTCCTTCCTCTTGCTGTACAAAAACAATGTATTTGGACTTTGCAGAACAGCCTAAGCTGTCTACTTCTTATCTGATCATGCAAGGTGTGTATTAATGACAAGTGTGAACAAGGCCAGTGTGGCAAATGTATACATGAGGACCAAAGTGTGAAAACGCTGCCAAGAGCCTGAAATGTCACCACTAAATTGCCAATACAAGATGTTTTAGGACAAAGTGAGGTTCAGCAAACCAAAAAAGTATGAAGAATTTAAATAAGAAGCCTATGAATGACAGGTGAATCATCTATAAGACCCTGCAAGAGAAGTTGTTTTTTACTGTAGCTCTGAGGATTACCGTCACCTGGATGACTGAGAAGCTGTGCAGAAATGTAAAAAGCACACACATTTTAGGTCAAAATTACCAATACTGGGATAAAACAGGCTTTAAAATGGTTCTGATTCGTCTTCAGGAAGATATTCGGGTTGTGGTTTTTCTTCTTTTTCCAGGAAAAGCCTCTATTACTACCTGAAGGAGAGGAGTTTAAATATGAGGATATCAGGCCAGGAGAGTCTGACTAAAGGGGTGATTTAGTTGGATTATGGGAACCGCAGGATTCAAAGTTTTTGAATTGTGAACCATACTCAGGCTGCAAGCCAGGATTTGGACTGTTTCCGTCTCCTGCCAGTCCCTCAACTTTAAACCGGTGCAATATAATATGCAATTGTTGGAATGTTCTTTAACCATCATTTCATATAAGCTACCTGTGATCAAAGTGTATTCATATGTTCACAGTTTGTCTTTGGTGAGGGGGGGGGTTTCAGTCCTCCTGTACATTCCTGCACTCTAAGCCTGTAAATGGTTGCAGCTGAGGCAAATCTGCACAAAAGAAGGCCTGAAGTGCACTCACGGTAGCGAGTAAAGAAGCTGTTGTCCAATACTCTTATACATGTCTTGGTTGTAATCCTGCATTACAGAGGCGATCGCAAAGGCTTTAGCGGCAAGCTCCCACAGTGAGTCTGAGAGAGCCACGGCTATCCCTAAGTACGTCTGCTTAGGGCTGTAACTGACACATGCTTAGGGAAAACACACACTCCGGCATGTGCCAGCAAACACACATGCGGAAGAGACGGACATGCACGCACGCACGCCGAGATATGGACAAACACGGGCGTGCGCGCACACACTCGGTGCCGTATCGCCAACGCTGAGGATAAAAGGCCCGCAAAAGAGCTGAGAGCCTAATTAGGTTTTAATTGATTTTGGAGTGGGTCTCTATCCTTCTCCCTCTCCCTCTTTCTGCCTCTCCCTCTCTCTCCTGTCGTGGATTAGCGTCAGTGAGCGAGTGTTCCTCAGATGTGATTATTGACCTGTTCACTCAGCCTCTCCCCAGGCTCTGATGAATACATGCATGAGGGCCTGACGTGTGAGAGCCCACTGTCTGTCTCTTTCAAACACACTCTTGAACGCATTCCAGGACATTGCGCACACACACACATAAATCACTCGCACATGCGCACTTATGAATCTTCACCCATGAAAACGCACACACACATGAGCAGACAGCCCCCTTATCCAGATCCCATTAGGAGGTTGTTTTGATCCAAACTCC